ATTAACAATAAAATTATATTTTAAGAAGTACATAAATTTATCTAGTATTCAGGTAGGCATTCTCAGCTGCTAGAGAAGTTAAGGCAGGAAGCTCACTTGAGCCCAGTAGTATAAGGATTGCCTGGGCAATGTAATGAGGTCTCATATAAACAAAAAGTGGCCAGGCACCTGTAGCTTATACCTGTAATCCAAGTCAGCATGGGCAGAAAAGCCTTGAGACTCCAATTCTCCAATTAGCCAACATTATCAGAAGCAAATTATTGTAGATTTTTTTTGGGGGGGGGTGTGGTTCCGGGGTTAGAACTCATGCTAAGCATTCATTCTCTATAGTCTAGAATCATTCCCTGTACTCTAGAATCTAAAATGTTTATGGCATGGAATTTTCAGCCTTTTATGACTTCTTCATTTTATGACATCAGACTTACTGCATTCTGAGAATTTTTTTCTCTCTCCAAATTCTTGGTTTAATAAGGGCTTGTCTATTTTTTGAGAAAAAAATGTCCCAAACATCAGGCTGCATTCTGAGAATTTTTATTTACTTATTTTTTTGTTTGTTTTTTGTTGGTGGGGCTTGAACTCTGGGCCTGCGTGCTGTCCCTATGCTCTTCAGCTCAAGGCGAGCATTCTACCACTTGAGCCACAGCGCCACTTCCAGTTTTCTAGTGGTTTATTAGAGATAAAAGTCTCACAGACTTTTCCTGCCTGGGCTGGCTTTGAACTGCAATCCTCAGATTTCAGCCTCCTGAGTAGCTAGGATTATAGGTATAAGCCACAGGTGCCCGGCTTTATTTATTTTAAATTTATCTTTTTTTGGGGGGGGGGGGGGGTCGGTCGTGGGCCTGAACTCTGGGTCTGGGCGCTGTCCCTCAGCTCTTCAGCTCAAGGCTAGCACTCTACCACTTGAGCCACAGCACCATTTCCAGCTTTCTGTGTATGTGGTACTGAGGAATCGAATCCAGGACCTCATGCATGCAAGACAAGCACGCTACCACCTTCCCAGCCCCCCGGACAGTCATTTCTGCCTGGCCTGCCAGAACTTTGTAGGCCCTCCAGCCCCCTTTCCCTGTGGCAGATCTTGACTAGAGCTGCCGTTACTCGGGGACTTGTCTTGCTCGCTGTCTGACCATGCAAGACAGTCTCCCAGTCATTGACTTGGGCATTGCCTGCTCAGAGAGGACTCATCTTTCACACAGCCAACCAAGTCTGCCTGTGCGAGTGGCAGTCCCCGAATAAGCACAATTCCCAAGGCACGTTCGCTTCGCTCATTGGCCATTGTGGACTCGTCGCGCTCCACCTTAGAATCAGAGTGCGTTCTTACCATGTTACATAGGTAAATTTACTTTGATGCACCACATAACATCCCAGTGAGAGAATTATACTACGCTTTGACACTATTTATAGCAGTCATGGAGACAGATCATTTGAGATCCCAGTGAGAGAAGTGGGGGCCGGAAGGGAGGCCTGTCCAGTAGGGCTCCTTGAAATCAAGCGTTTGACCAGCCTCTCTAGCGGGGAAAGGATTCATGGTGCCTTTTCATTCATCCAGTTAGCAGATGGTTGGCTCGGGGGTTCAGCACATGCCTAGCCTGAGTGAGGCATTGAGTTCAAACCCAGCCCTTCAAAATTGTTTCGTTACTTTTTTTTTTTTTTTTTGCCAGTCCTGGGGCTTGAACTCAGCGCCTAGGCACTGTCCCTGAGCTCTTTAGTGTTCAAGGCTAGCACTCTACCACTTGAGCCAGAGCACTACTTCCAGCTTTTTCTGAGTCATTTATTGGAGATGAGAGTCTCAAGGGGACTTTTCTGCCCAGGCTGGCTTCGAACCACAAGCCACAGATCTCAGCCTCCTGAGTAGATAGAAATACAGGCATGGGCCACTGGCGCCGGCTGTTAATTCTTTAAGGAATAGCTTGCTAAATTAAACTTGGGATAGCAAATGTTCTCTGATGGTAGTGACCCCTGAGTGGCAGGATTGGTGCTGTGATCTCCTTCCTCAACTGTGTGCTCACCCTCGGGGCAGCGGTCAGGTACAGGACCTGGGGAGGGGTCTAGCAGCAGAGCTAGGGCAGTTGTGAAAGGGGTTTTGGTATAGGCTCTTTCTCTCATGTTTCATTATTATTATTATTTTTTTTTTTTTGGTCCGGTCATGGGGCCTGAACTCTGGGCCTGGGCACTGTCCCTCAGCTCTTCAGCTCAAGGCTAGTGCTCTACCACTTGAGCCACAGCGCCACTTCCGGCTTTTTTCTTTTTGCTTATGTGGTGCTGAGGAATCGAACCCAGGGCCTTGAGCATGCAAGGCAAGCGCTCTACCACTGAGCCACCTTCCCAGCCCTATTATTATTATTTTGGGTCGGTTGTGGAGCTTGAACTCTGGGCTTGGGCGCTGTCCCTGCCTGTCAGCTCAAGGGGAGCCAGAGCGCCACTTCTGGTTTTCTAGTGGTTCATTGGAGGTAAGAGTCTCACAGACTTTCCTGCCAGGGCTGGCTTTGAACTGCGATCCTCAGATCTCAGCCTCCTTTATTTGCTAGTCCTGTGGCCTGGGCACTGTCCCTGAACTTCTTTTGCTCAGGGCTAGCACTCTACCATTAAGCCACATTCCCAGCCCCTTCATTAATTTTTAATAGTTTGGCAGATGCATTATGTATTGGTTGATGCTTTGTAGTGTTGGGAATCAAACCCAGGGCTTCACACCTCTGGGTATAGGCTTCCTACTGAGCCACATTACCACATGCTACAAAAAGCAAACTTACAAAGTGGAACTTGTTCCATTGACATAGTTACCTTGCCAGAAAGAAGTAAGACTGAGCCCAGCCACCCCAGCTTATATTTATAATCCTGGCTATTCAGGAGGCCGAGATCTGAGAAGGGTTTGAAGCCAGCCCAGGCAGACAAATCTGAGAGCTTCTCATCTCTAGTAAACCAGCAAAAGGCCAGAAGTGGAGCTGTGGCTCAAGTAGTAGTGCCAGCTGTGCTTGAAAAGCCAGCCCAGTGCTGGCGCGCGCGCGCGCGCGCGCGCACACACACACACACACACATGAACAAAAGAAAAAAAAATAGCCACTTTCTAGGCTTACCTGAGTGTCACCAGTTGACTAATTTATTCCAAGTGCTTGCAGTGTCTGGGCGATAATGAAAAGAGCTACTGAGATGGACTGTGTTAAATATCCAGACCCAGGGAAGATGGTCACTTGGGCAGATCTGACCTTGAGTTCCCCCATTTCCCTCTGGTTCCCTTTTCATTGCTCAGAAGTCCTGAGAACTAGACTCCATGTGGCTGGCTCTTTTCATAACCTCAGCCATCGGTCCCCCCTTTGGACACATTCTCCCACCCTTCCTTCCTCATTTCTCATCCATCATCTCTCCTCCCCTACCCCGGGGTGCTTCTCAGTGGATTGCAATCCCCCCGAATCACCCAGCACCTTAAAAACCTTAACTGGTCATAGGAAGGCCCTGCTTCAGGAGTACTTACCCACTCCTCCTAAGAGAGAGAAGGCCTCTTCCATCCAGCAGGAGTTGGAGTCTCTGTTTGGCCTTGGGGCAGACACAGTGACAGATGTGGGGAACTGGAGAGGAGATGGCAGATTCAAAAAGAGAGAGGGGAAAAAAAGCCTGTTCCTCTGCCCCGTCCGGGCGTGGCCCTCTTCTGGGCATCTCTTCAGGATTTCATTTCTCCGTCCAACTGCCGTCCACAACTGCCTTTCCAACTGCTCCAGAACTCTTGGCCTTGGCATTCTGTGATGTAAATTCATTCCACGCATGGCTTGAAATGGGGGCGCAGCAGTGTTGCCAGGTGTCGGATCACTAGTGTAAGTTGCCTGGATCTCGGGGGAGAACCACTCTTGGAATTCGTACGGTTGTGATTGTTTCAGCCAAAGCCCAGTCACCGCGCTGGCTGTGCTGGGGACGGCGGCCGGCCGGCGGGGCAGGGAGGCAGCCCAGGGCCTGAGCGGGGTGAACTTCTGCCTGACATTTTCTCCATGCAGCATTTTCGGGCGAGCTATGGCTGGGCTGGCATTGAGCAGCCGTGGTGCTTCTGTGGACGTGAGCACCTGGGCCCTGCCGGCCGCAGCCCAGGCCTGCACTGCCCGTGGCCAGGCCGTCCGTGAGATTGCAGCTGGCTCCAAATGCACAAAAGAACCCCCTTTCCTGGCTCCCTACAGCTAGCCAGAAATATGGCAAGAAGTCTGGATTGTTCTCCAGCCCCCAAACATAAAGACCTCTGAACCTAGGAGAGGTGTTCTAGACAGAAGTGTGGTTTCTCTTCTTGTTTGCTTATACTGGAGGAAGTTGCTGTTTGCTGTTTTAGGGCTCTTGGGTGAGTCCGCATGCCAGAGGCCGCTGCCAGCTATCTTCCATTTGCTTAGAATCTTTCTCTTGAAATTGAGGACTTGTTTATAATAAAAGCAATTTAAATTCAGTGCTTTTCTTGTTGTTGTTGTGTTGTTTTGTTGTGGGTACCGGGGGTTTGGACTCTGGGCCTCATATTTGCTCAGATTGCTTGCTTAGCTGGTACTTTCTACCACTTGAGCCATATCTCCAGTCAGGCTTTCTGCTGATTAATTAGAGATGGAGTCTCTCAGTTGTTTTCTGCCCAGGTTGATATCACCCTTCTGTCTCGTAGTACCAGCTGCCTGAGTAGCTAGGATAATGGGTGTGAGCCACCAGTACCAGCAGAAATTCAATACCTTCTTTTTTATTTTTGGTGCCTGCTCAATACTTTCTTGAATGATGAGGAAATAAAAAATTATTTAATTGTTCTCTTTTTTTTTTTTTTGAGATGAGCACCCAGGCTCAAGCCATCCTTCCTTAGCCTTTGGAGGTGCTATGCACATACCGCCATGCCCAGCATCCACAGAAACTAGTATCACAGTGATGACCAGCAATTAGAGAAAACACACAGGAACGACACTGCTGTTAATACCCAGTTTAAGTGCGCTTTGTGTTGCCTAAATGCTGCTGGCTGCAGTCTCTTGCTGAACCTTGCTTCCTTCTTGTCTTCACAGTTGTCATGGATGATGATGATGACTCGTGTCTCCTTGATCTTATTGGGTAAGGCACTCATTGCAGACCCAGGGGACCAGCAAGGGGGGTGGGGGGGAGGCCTGCTGGACCAAAGCAGCCTAAGAAGTTCAGAAGTAAGGGCTGGGACTGTGGCTTAGTGCTTGCCTAGCAAGTATGAAGCCCTAAATTTGATTCCTCAGTACCACATAAACAGGAAAGCTAGAAGTGGCCCTGTGGCTCAAGTGGTAGAGTGCTAGCCTTGAGCAAAAGAAGCTCAGGGCCCTGAGTTCAAGCCCCAGGACTGGCCAAAAAAAAAAGTTCAGAAGTAAATAATCATAGCTAGAGCAAAAGGTGGGGGGAGAGAGATTGCCATAGGAGCGATAATTTTGTAATCCTTCACTACATTTTTTTTCTAATAAGACCCAGAAGGCAAGGCCTGGGGTATAGCTTGGTGGTAAAAAAGACTCTTGATTCCATCCTCACAACTGAAAGCTAGAAAAAGAAAAAAAGGAATCTCAGGAAGCAGAAATTATTGATAATAAGAAATTGAACATCAAAAAGAAAAAGTAGATAAACGAAAAACTGCTAAGAAAATCATTTTAAAATAAGTAGAAGATTTTACTCAGGCTAATGTTTTCTTGTTTAGTTGCTACTCTTTTTTTTTTTTTTCTGTTGGTGTGGGGCTTGAACTCAGGCCTGGGCGCTGTCCCTGACCTCTTTTGCTCAAAACTAGCACTCTACCACCTCGAGCCACAGAGCCATTTCCAGTTTTATAGTGGTTAATTGGAGAAAAGAGACTCATGGAGTTTCCTTCCCAGGCTGACTTTTGAATTACAGTCCTCAGATCTCAGCCTCCTGAGCAGCTAAGGGTTACAAGCTTGAGCCACTGGCGCCTGGCTTAGCTGGTGTGTGTGTGTGTGTGTGTGTGTGTATGTGTGTGTGTGTGTGTGTGTGTGTGTACACGTACCAGGGTTACAAGCGTGAACCACTGGCGCCTGGCTTAGCTGGTGTGTGTGTGTGTGTGTGTGTGTGTGTGTGTGTGTGTGTGTGTGTACACACGTACCAGGGTTACAAGCGTGAACCACTGGCGCCTGGCTTAGCTGGTGGTGTGTGCGTGTATGTGCGTGTGTGTGTACCTGTGTGTACCAGTCCTGGCTTGAACTCAGGGCCTAGGCACTGTTCCTGAGCTTCTTTTATTTAAGGCTAGCACTCTACCACTTGAACCACAGGACTAATGTAGGTTAGCCTCTTGAGTAGACAGGATTACAGGTATGAACCACCAGTACCCAGCCATTTTCTTTTTTAGTGGAAATAATGTTTATTTATTTGATGCCCTCTTTTATTCTAGAGACCCACAAGCGTTGAACTACTTTCTACATGGACCTAGTAATAAATCTGTAAGTAACACTGGGAACATAGCGGAGACACAAGCTTTGTTTCTTCTTGCTGTCAAAGTAACCACCGTGTTGAATTTGCCCTCTTGCAGAGCAGCGATGACCTGACCAATGCAGGATATTCTGCAGCCAATTCAAACTCAATTTTCGCCAACTCTACTGTGAGTATTGGAAACAAAGCATAATGTTCAAGGGTTTCTGTCTCAAGGGTACTTTGGGAATTTTTATCAGTGTGTGTATGAGTGTGCACTGGTGGTAGTGGTACTGAGGCTTCAACATTGGGCCTTGCCTTCTTTTTTAGCTTTTTCACCCACTTTTTCTAGTGCTATAGCATTTGAGCCATATCTCCAGTTCTGGCTTTCTGCTGGTTAATTGGAGTCACACAGATTTGTCTGCCCAGGCTGGCTTTGAACTTTGATCCTCAGATCTTTGTGTCCTGAGTAGCTAGGATTACAGGCGTGAGCTACAGGTGCTCAGTGGAATTGAGGCTTTTCTTTGTATCATGATATTTATCTCTTATAGCTTACATAAAAAGGAAATGAATGGAATTATGTTGGTGTTGCCTATTATAGTCAACTAACACAAGCTGAGTGAGACTTACTTTGCCAATTTTCTAGGTTTTCAACCTTTTTAAATGACTGAAATGTCGTAACTTAAAGTCATATTAGTGCTTTGAACCTTGTTACATAGCTTTCAAGAAATTATTCTTAATTGTAGTTTGTAGTTACTTAAAACCCTTTTTAAACTACAAAAATTATTAACTGACATTTGGTGAGCACTTAGTATGTGCTTAGTATAAAGGCTCAAGACTCATACAGTAACATTATTTAATCCTTTTTTATTTTTATTTCTAATTTTTTGGAGGGCTATGGGGCTTGAACTCAGGGCCTGGGCACTGTCCCTGAACTCTCTTTTTGCTCAAGGCTAGTGCTCTATGATATTGAGCCACAGTACCACTCCTGGTTTTCTGGTGGTTAACTAGAGATTAGAGTCTCATGGACTTCCCTGCCCAGGCTGGCTTTGAACCACGATCCTCAGCTCTCAGCCTCCTGAGTAGCTAGGATTATAGACGTGAGCCACTGGCACCATGCATCTTACAATATTTCTATAAATTGGCTTTATTATTCATATGTTACAGATAAGGAAACAAAAGCATGGTCCAACATTATACAGCCATGACTTACAGATCTAGGATATTAACCTAGACACCTCAGGGTCTGGAGCCCAGGATGTTAAGCTCTAGGAACATCTAGAAGAGGTGGGAAAGCAGGAAGTCCTGCTTGGAGACTACATCAAGATTTCTGTGTTGAAGCTGCTGCAGTGGCGCACGCCTATAATCCTCGCTATTCAGGAGACAGAGATCAAGAAGATTGAGGTTTGAGGACAACTGGGGTAAAAAATTCATGAGACCCCTTCTCATCCATTGGCTGGTGATGTGCCCAGAAGGATCGCAGTTCCTGGCCAGCTCAGGCAAAAAGTGTGCCAGTGGCTGGAAACATGGCCTAGTGGTAGGTGCTCATCTGGCATACACAAAGCCCCAGGTTTGATTCCTCAGTTCCACTTTTATAAACAGAAAAAGCCAGAAGTGGAGCCATGGCTCAAGTGGTAGAGCACTAGCCTTGAGCAAAAGAAGCTCAGGGACAGTGCCCGGGCCCTGAGTTCAAGCCCCAGGAAAGTGTGCAAGACTCCATCTCAGTGAAGAATCTGGCGGTGGTGACAAGGGTTGGTAGGAAGTATAAAGTAGGAGGATTATGGCTTAGACAAAAAACAAAAGCTTTTCTCAAAACTGGACTAGAGGCATGGCTCAGTGGAGAGTGCCTTCCAGCAAACACAAGGCTCCAATGTGAACTCCTCCTTCCCCCCAAAAAAAGAAGATTGCTATGATTAAGCTTTATGTTTCCTTCTTCTTTAATCTTTTCAATCTGATCACTGTGCACTGTATGGTAGTCTAGAGTCAGACACCCACATTTCAGTCCCTACTTCACCGTGTTCCAGCTATATGGCTGTGATGTTGTTTCCTTACTATGCAACTAGGAAATAATAGAACTGCCTCAAAGCATGCTTAAGATTGGTTTTCTAATCCATGGAAATCATAAATCAGTGCTGTTAACAAATGTTAACTCATTGTCATCATCAAGGCCCATGTGCTTTGTCTGTAGAATAGAATGAGATTCAGCACAGTTCTTTCAAGTATTTGGATGTGTGTATTGTCAGATCACAGCATACGAGTTCACTCTGCCTGGCATGCAGGAAGCCTTGCCACCTTCCCAACATTCCACCTGTGCACATGTGTGTGTGCGCGCGCACACACACACACACACACAACACCATACCTCTGCCTGCTAGAGTAGCTTCAGTCACAATGCTGAACATTCATCCCTTTGTTATTTGTATGTCTATCTGTCCATCTGTCTGTCCATCCATCCATCCATCCAGCCAGCCAGCCAGCCATCCATTGGTGCTAGTCAGCCTCCTATGTCCTCCACCACCAATCCCAGCCCAAGACACATTTCTGATCCTCATCTTGAATGAGTAATAATGGCAGGTGATTCCATGAAATGCAGAAAGTAAATATTTAACCTGTCCCTCAGCACTAATGATGTTTCCTTATCAACTTCCTCTTCCATTCTAGTTTTTCCATATGTATGAAATTTAAACATTTATTTCATCATGCCCATGCCAAGTATAGAGGAAATATTTCAGAGGATCTAAAAATCATGGTTATTAACAAGGTCTGATGATGTCCGCTTGTAATGCCAATGCTCAGGAGGCTGAGGCAGGAAGATTGTGAGTTCAAGATTAACCAGGGCTACATAGTAAGTTCCAAAAGGCCAGAAGTTGTAGCTTAAGTGATAGAGTGCTAGCCTTGAGCTGAAAAAGACCCCGAGTTCAAGCCCTAGGAGCAGCACTAAAGTAACTAACTAAATAAATTGTGCGGGGCTGGGAAGGTGGCTCAGTGGTAGAGTGCTTGCCTTGCAAACCTGAGGCCCTGGGTTCGATTCCTCAGCACCATATAAGCAAAAAGAAAAAAGCCGGAAGTGGTGCTGTGGCTCAAGTGTTAGAGCGCTAGCCTTGAGCTGAAGAGCTGAGGGACAGCGCCCAGGCCCAGAGTTCAGGCCCCACAACCGGACCCCCCCCAAAAAAAAAGAAAAAAAAAATTGTGCACACCCAGCTCTATTTTTAACTTTTTTACTTTGATTCCGTCTCTTTCTGCTGGTGCTGGAGCTTGAACTTAGGGACTAGGCTCAGTCTGACTCTTAGCTTTTTCATTCAAGGCTTATGTTCTATCACTTGAGCCACAGCTCCACTTCCAGCTTTTTGGTGCTTAATTGGAAATAAGAGTCGATTGCTTCAAACAGCAATCCTCAAATCTCAGGCTCCTGAATAGCTAGTATTTCAAGTATGAGCCACAAGTGTCTGCCTGTAAAGTGTTTTGTTTGTTAAATACTTGTGTTTTTTGTTGGTGTTTTTGTTGTGTGTCTGTGTGTCTGTGTTTGTTTTTTGCCAGTTTTGGGGCTTGAACTCAGGGCCTGGGCACTGCCCCTGAGCTTCTTTTGTTCAAGGCTAGCACTCTACCACTTGAGCCACAGTGCCACTTCTGGCTTTTTCTGTGGTACTGAGGAATCGAGCCTAGGGCTTAATAAAGCATGCTAGGCAAGCACTCTACCACTAAGCCACATTCCCAGTCCCTTAAGTGTTTTGTTTTGTTTTTTAAACACTTCAGTATGTGAACAGGAACTCATTTTCTGTGAGAACCTTACTTTCGGCGGCATGGTCTTGTTGGGGAGTTGGGGGATAGATCCATTCTGGACCTCTAGCAAAGCGGCAAGCAGCACTCCAGGAACTCTTGCAGGCGTATGCTGTACTGAGGACTAGGTAGAGCTGCCTCCAGGGAAGGTCCCCTGGAAGGCTTGAAATTGGGAGCAAGCTTCAAAAGTAGGCCTGCTCGAATATAGCTCCGCTGTGGAATGCTTGTCTAACATGTGCGAAGCCCTGGGTTAGAGTCCCAGTTCCTATAAGTGATCATAAAACTAATAAATGCCCTAAGAGGGATGACAATATAGCTTAGTGATAGAGCAACTTAGCGTGTGTGAAGTCCTTAGGTTCAATCCCCAGCTAGCACCAAAAAGATAAAAGTAAAAATCTGTGCCAGCATCTCAACCATGAAACTGACTTCCAAGTAGGCCTTAGTCTTTAATGTTTTTTTGATTTTGTTTTCTCAGTCATGGGGCTTGTACTCGGGGCCTGGGCACTGTCCCTGAGCTCTCTTGCTCAAAGGTAGCACTCTGCCACTTTGGACCATAGCTCCACTTCTGGTTTTTCAGTGGTTAATTGGAGATGAAGCGTCTCAGTGGGGGACTTTTCTTTCTTTCTTTTTTTTTTTTGGGTCCGGTCGTGGGGCCTGAACTCTGGGCCTGGGCGCTGTCCCTGAGCTCTTCAGCTCAAGGCTAGCACTCTACCACTTGAGCCACAGCGCCACTTCCGGCTTTTTTCTTTTTTGCTTATGTGGTGCTGAGGAATCGAACCCAGGGCCTCATGCATGCAAGGCAAGCGCTCTACCACTGAGCCACCTTCCCAGCCCCAGTGGGGGACTTTTCTGCCCGGGCCGGCTTTGAACCGCAATCCTCAAGTCTCAGACTCCGGAGTAGCTAGGATTACAGGCGTGAGCCACCAGTGCCTGGCGATGTTTTTATCTATTCCCTGTCCAACAATCCACCAGAGTAATGAAGAATGTTACTTATCACTACTAAGGAAATAAAATAGCAGTTGGGAGGAGCTGTGCCTTAAAAGCCAAATGAGATGGAATTTTTTCCAAAGGTCGGATCTGCGATGTAACGCACTGCTTTCTTTTCTAGAATGCTGATCCTAAGGCAACCCTCAAGGGTGTAAGCACTCAGCTTGGAGAAGGGCCCAGTGATGGACTTCCGCTTTCCAGCAGCCTTCAGTTTCTTGAAGATGAACTTGAGTCTTCTCCTCTTCCTGATCTCAGTGAGGACCAACCTTTCGACATTCTTCAGAAATCCTTGCAGGAGGCGAATATCACCGAGCAGACGCTGGCAGAAGAGGCGTATCTGGACGCCAGTATAGGTTCGAGCCAGCAGTTTGCACAAGCTCAGCTTCATCCTTCCTCATCAGCATCCTTCACTCAGGCTTCTAACGTTTCGAATTACTCAGGTCAGACGCTGCACCCCATCGGGGTGACTCACGTGCCTGTGGGAGCATCGTTCGCAAGCAATACAGTGGGTGTGCAACATGGCTTCATGCAGCACGTGGGAATCAGTGTTCCCAGCCAGCATTTGCCTAACAGCAGTCAGATTAGTGGTTCTGGTCAAATACAGTTAATCGGGTCATTTGGTAATCAACCTTCCATGATGACAATTAACAACCTCGATGGCTCGCAGATCATCCTGAAGGGCAGCGGGCAGCAGGGCCCGTCGAATGTGAGTGGAGGGCTTCTGGTTCATAGACAGACTCCTAACGGGAGCTCACTGTTCGGGAACTCCAATTCCAGCCCGGTAGCACAGCCTGTCACCGTTCCCTTTAACAGCACAAATTTTCAGACATCCTTACCTGTGCATAACATCATCATACAGAGAGGACTCGCACCAAATTCAAATAAAGTCCCAATTAATATCCAGCCAAAGCCTATCCAGATGGGTCAGCAGAACACGTACAATGTGAACAATCTGGGAATTCAGCAGCACCATGTCCAACAAGGGATCTCTTTTGCCTCCGCCAGCTCGCCGCAGGGCTCTGTCGTGGGCCCACACATGTCTGTGAACATTGTAAACCAACAGAACCCGAGAAAGCCGGTCACCTCGCAGGCCGTGAGCAACGCGGGGGGCAGCATCGTCATCCATTCCCCCATGGGCCAGCCTCACGCACCCCAAAGCCAATTCCTCATACCGACAAGCCTTTCCGTCAGCTCCAACTCGGTACACCACGTGCAGACCATCAATGGGCAACTTCTTCAGACTCAGCCATCTCAGCTCATTTCCGGCCAGGCGGCCTCAGAGCATGTCATGTTGAACAGAAACTCCTCCAACATGCTCAGGACCAACCAACCATATTCTGGACAGATGCTTAACAACCAGAATACCGCCGTCCAGTTAGTGTCTGGGCAGACGTTCACCACCTCGGGAAGTCCAGTGATCGTCAATCACGCCTCTCCTCAGATCGGACAGATGCCCTTGCAGCAGGCATCGCCCACCGTACTGCACCTGTCACCTGGGCAGAGCAGCGTCTCCCAAGGGAGACCCGGCTTTACCGCCATGCCCTCGGTGACAAACATGTCGGGACCTCCTCGGTTTCCTGCTGTCAGCTCAGCCAGCACTGCCCATCCTAGTCTGGGGTCTACAGTTCCATCTGGGACATCGGGATCAAATTTCACAGGAGATCAGGTCCCCCAGCCAAACAGGACTCCTGCGCCCGTCGCTGCGGCCCACCGTCTTCCAGCCTCCGCCTCCAGCTCCCCCAGCACCTTCAGCACGACGCCCGCAGCGGGGACCCAGCAGCAGTTCTTCTGCCAGGTAACGCATGCGCAGAGAAGTGTCCTCGCAGGGTAGACACTGTTTACCTGAACATGAGGTTTTTTATCTGGTTTTAATCTCAGGCTCCCAATTTATTAACTTAACAATTTTCTGCTTAAGAGTTTTTTTTTTAATTTTCTGCCAGTCCTGGGGCTTGAACTCAGGGCCTGGGCACTGTCCCTGAGCTGCTGCTTTTTTGTTGTTGTTGTTTGGTCAGCTCCTCAGCTCTAGGCTAGTGCCCTACCACTTGAACCACGGTGCCACTCCTGGCTTTTTTTTCCTGCTTATGTGGTGCTGAGGAATCAAACCCAGAGCCTCATGCATGCAAGGTAAGCACTCTACCACTGAGCCAACTTCCCAGCCCCTGTCCCTGAGCTTCTTTTGCTTAAGGCTAGCACTCTACCACTTGAGTCACTGCACTACTTCCAGCTTTTTCTGTGTATGGGGTACTGAGGACTCAAGGCCAGGGCGTCATGCATGCTAGGCCGGCGCTCTACCACTGACCACCTTCCCAGCCCCTTCTTCTTAATTAAAATAGCTTCCCCAGCAGTGCACTGCAGCTTAGAGCAGAGACTTTGGAGCCAAACTGTTGCTCTGAATCTAAGCTTTATGTCAGGGAGCAGTTACCTCATCCATGAAGTGAGGCTACTGGGGGGTTAAACACACTAATTACCCTCTCCCCTCTCCCCCCCGCAAAACTACTGAGCATAGTCTCTGGAAAATAGCAAGCACCTCAGTAGGAGTCAGTGTTCATCCACGTGCTGACTTAGTGAGATGTACTTTAGACATTTAAGATGGAAGATTACACGATTAATGTCAATAGTTTATCTTTACTGTGATTGTTACTGCTGTGACAGAACCTGGAAGAAATCATTTAAAAGGGGGAAAAGCCTTATTTTGGCTCACAGTTTTCCATGTTTTCGGTCCAGAGTCAGCCAAGTGCACTGCTTTGGTGCGGAGCCATCTGGGGGGTGTGGCCGGTGGGGAGAGAGGAACCACAGGGACAGGCATCTCTCCAGGGATTGGGCAGTGTGGACCCTACGTCGAGAGACCATCAAGGCCACAGGCTTGCCAGGCAGCTGCTCTGTGTGCCCCTGGGTGTGCGTCTCCCGAGTAAATACAGGACAGACGAGGGACTATCAGCCGCGTGTGTGAACGCCACACTATTCCAGGTAGTATCTTCCAGGTCTCCGCTATTTCCCCCAGCTTTTGTGGTTACTATGCATCTTCTGAGCACATAGTTGGAGACTGTTGATATCCAGCTGTTTCACACCTGCATGCACCTGTTTACATTGGCCGGTGGTCACTGAAGTAACTGCAGGCATTCTTTTTTTTTTCTTTTTTGTCGGTTGTGGGCTTGAACTCTGGGCCTGAACGCTGTCCCTCGGCTCTTCAGCTCAAGGCTAGAGCTTTATCACTTGAGCCACAGCGCCACTTCCGCCTTTTTCTGTTTATGTGGTGCTGACGAATTGAACCCAGGGCCTCATGCATGCAGGGCAAGCACTCTACCATGGAGCCACCTTCCCAGCCCCTAACTGCAGGCATTCTACTCCGAGGAAGACTTCCTTCTCTGCCCTCTGCATTTTGCTTACATCAGTGCCGACTCTCCATGGTCATCTGGTTCACTTCTCCAGTCAGCCCACATTGGCCAAGCAGGCACTTCTCCAAATCGGTCGCTGGGCCTTTGGTGTTGTTATTCTAGTAGCAATGTTTCAGCTCAGAGCCATAAGCTCTATTTAGGTTTTCTTGTTCACAGCTGGCACTCTACCACTTATGCCACATCTCCACTCTGGTTTTTTGCTCATTAATTTAGAGATGGAATTTCAAACAGTTTTCTGCCTGAGGTGGCACTGAACTGTGATCATCTAGGTCACACCCTTACAAGTAGCTGGAATTACAGATGTGAGCACCAGTGCCAGGCAGTGGCTAATTCTTCTGCCAGGTGCCTGCTATGATCTGAGTACTTTCTAACTTCTTTCTTTTCTTTGTTTGCTTCTTTCTTTCTTCCTTCTAATTTCATTCCTTCCGTCCATCTTTCCTGCCCTCTTTCCTTCCTTTTTTCTGTCAATCATGGGACTAGAACTTAGGGCCTGGGTGCTGTCTCTGAACTCTTTTGCTCAAGGCTAGCACTCTACCACTTTGAGCCACAGCTCTACTTCTAGTTTTCTGGTGGTTTATTGGAGATGAGTTTCACAGACTTTCCTGCCTACTCTGGCTTTGAAACCACGATCCTCAGATCTTAGCCTCCCAAGCAGCTAGGATTACAAGCATGAATCCTCAGCACTCTCTTTAATTTCTGATAAAATAAGATAGTCTATGTTCATCTTTTCATTTCTCTGCCCCTGCTCTGGAATCAATTTTCTTTCTTTCTTTCTTTCTCTCTCTCTTTCTTTCTTTCTTTCCTCTTTCTTTCCTTCCTTCTTTCTTTCCTCTCTTTCTTTCTTTCTTTTTCTTTTTATCTTTTTTTTTGTCTGTCTGTCTTTCTTTCTTTCTGTCTTTCTTCTATCTTTCTTTCTTTTGTTAGTTTTTTTTTTTGGGGGGGGGGTTGATCATGGGGCTTGAACTCTGGGCTTGGGTGCTGTCCCTGAGTTCTTCAGTTCAAGGTGAGCATTCTACCACTTGAGCCATGCCACCTCCAGTGTTCTGATGGTTAATTGGAGATATGAGTCTTGTGAACTTTACTGCCCGAGCTGGCTTTGAACCGTGATCCTCAGATCTCAGCCTCCTGACTAGCTAGGATTATGTGTGTGATGCACCAGTGTCCAGGCAATTTCTTTTTTTTTTTTTTAGAGAAGACATTCCTTCTAACAGGGAAGAATATTTAGCAACCAAGATATGGGGCTGGTGGTAGAGCTCGGTGGTAGAGCACTGCCTAGCATCTGTGGAGTCCTGAGCTCAATCCTTAGTAACATACACATGCAAAATATATGTATATATGTATACACACACCTAGCCAAGAACTGAGCATTATATGGTTCATTGCTGCTGGGGGGTCTCACTGGGAAATAAATGTATTTGTATATACCTAATATCTATAGATATTTATATATTTAACAATGTTTTAAGCTACAAGTTCATAAGCCCTGACCAGTAGATTGACCCAAGCCTTGCTCATTTCTCTGCTTGATTATTTCTTCCTCCTCTTCCTCCTCCTCTTCTTCCTCTTTTATTTTTAACTCTGGGCCTGGGTGCTGTCCCTCAGCTCTTCAGCTCAAGACTAGTGCTCTACCACTTGAGCTACAGCGACACTTCCAGTTCTCTGTGGTTTTATTGGAGATAAGAGTTTCACGGACTTTCCTGCCCGGGTTGGCTTTGAACCGCAACCCTCAGATCTCAGCCTCCTAAGTAGCTAGGGTTACAGGCGTGAGCCACCGGCGCCCGGTCGTCATCTTCTTCTTCATTCATGATGGTAATAGAGCTTGAACTCAGGGTCTCATGCTTTTGCTATAGTGTCTTCAGCTCCAGGCTGGAAGTCTACACCTCCATTTCTGGGTTTTTGCTAGTTAATTAGAGATAAATGTCTCATGGCCTTTTCTGTCTGGGCTGATCCTGATACGTCAGCTTCCTGTGTAGCTAGAATTATAGGTGTGAGCCACCAGTGCTGGCAGAAAGTAGTTTAGAATTGCTAATTCCACCTCTGTGGAAAACAGACTTCCTCATTGTTGGTTTACTGTGTGCTGCTGTCTTTACCCAAGGGTTTATGGCCAAAATACTATGTTCAGAAGTTATTTGGGTTCTATTTCCTCCTTGGGCATTGTTATGCTATTATTCATTTCAAGTATAAAAAAAAAAAGTAATCTGTTTCTGCTTGTGTCTCATTTTAGAATTCCTTCCCAGAATCCTTGCCAATTTTGTCTTTTCAAGTTCTTTTGACCTAGTAAGCCATTACTGTTGTCCATGAAGATTTCCCACAGATCACAAAAGTCTAATAATAGAGGGATGATTCACAGGATGAGTTATTATAGAGTCATTTAAGAGGTTTTCAAAAATAATTTTAAATTTAAGGAAAAGCCTACAAAATAATTTTCAATGAAAGATGTGTGTAAGTGTAAAATATTTACTAAACAAACAGCTTACACCTTTAGTAAAATGGTTGGAGAGGCCTGGCACTGGTGGCTTACACCTGTAATCCAAGCTACTCAGGAGATTGAGATCTCAGGATCCCAGTCCAGAGTCAGCCCAGGCTGCAAAGTCTGTAAAACACTTATCTCCTAATAAACACCTAAAAAACAGAAGTAAAGCTGTGGCTCAAAATGGTAGAGCGCTAGCCTTGAGCAAAAAAGCTCAGGGATAGTGCCCAGGCCCTGAATTCAAGCCCCATGACCTATGAAAAAAAAAAGGAGGGCTGGGACTGTGGCTCAGTGGTAGAGAGCTTGCCTTGTATGCATGAAGCCCTGGGTTTGATTCCTCAGCACCACGTAAATACAAAAGGCTGGAAGTGGTGCTGGCTCAAGTGGTAGACTGCTAGCCTTGAGCAAATGAAGAAGCTCAGGGACAGTGCCCAGGCCTTGAGTTCAAGGCCCAGGACTGGCCAAAAAAAAAAAAAAAAGGAAAAGAAAGAGAAGAAATGATGGAGAGCATAATGAATAAGAGGATGTCTGGCCGAGGATGGCCTCTGTTATCCTTAGTGACTGTATACTATTCCAGCTCCCTGTAGCTTCAAGAAAATTCAGGATGGGGCTGGGAAGGTGGCTTAGTGGTAAGAGTGCTTGCCTAGCATGCATGAAGCCCTGGGTTCCATTCCTCAGTACCATATACACAGAAAAGGGCAGAAGTGGCGCTGTGGCTCAAGTGGTAGAGTGCTAGACTTGAGCAAAAGAAGCTCAGGGACAGTGCCCAGGCCCTGAGTTCAAGCCACAGGACTGGCAAAGAGAGAGAGAGAGAGAGAGGCAGAGCCAAGTCACGGTCCAGCTCAGCAGCCTGCATTCTGCCGCCTTGGCCCGGGAATCGGCTCTCAGCCTGGTTTTCTCCTCTCAAACATGAGGCGCTCGGCTATTGTCGTGGAATAATCTAGGGAGCTTTTCAAAAATATGGATGCTTGAAGCTCACTCTCATAAATTCTTCCTTAAATAGCCCGGAGAAAGGGTGTGAGGTGTACAGCATTTTCCAAAAGCTCCCTGAGTGATTCTAAAGTGCAGCCAGGGTGGAAGCGCCGGGCTGCTCCAGCCGCCTGTCTCCTAATGAGCCTGCTGGAACAGCTGCGCGGTGATTAGCCCGCCTCGCGTCTCCACTAACAGCCCACTTCCACCGCACTGATCCTCCTGAAACATTGACGGGGACCCAGAGTTCCTCCACGCTTAGAGATGGACACAAAAGAGGAAGGCATGCACAAGGGAGGGCAAGGAAAGGCTTACGGACTTTCAGCCCTGCTGAAAACTCAGCGAGGGGAGGCCCGGCCGCGCGTGGGAGGCCAATGCGTGCGGGAGAGGTGGCCACACCGCGGCCACCGAGGAGAGACCGGACGAGGGAAAGGGCACACAGGTGTCCGAGAAGCAGAGGTGCCTGCAGAATGGTAGCTACAAGGATGTGTGAGGATCATGGTTTGAAGCCAACCTAGGCAGACAAATCCAAGAGACTCTTATTTCCACTCAGCTAGCAAAAAGCTGAGAAAGTGAAGCATGGCTCAATTGGTACTAAACCAGCCAGCCAGAACATGAAGTTCAAAGCCCAATAACATGAGGCCCTGAGTTCAAAGCCCAACACACACACACACAGATGAAATTCCAGTACTTGGGAGGCACACACAGAAAGATTGTGAGTTTCTAGGCCAGCTTGGATTTTATAGCAAGACACTGCCATAAAAACAAAACAAAAAAAAACAAACAGGCTGGGTGCTGGTGGCTCATACCTATAATTCCAGCTACTCAGGAGGCTGAGATACGAGGATCATAGTTCAAAGCCAGGGCAGGCAGAAAAGTCCATGAGACTTTTTTTTTTTTTTTTGGTAAATCCTGGGGCTTGAACAGCCCACTGTGTGCTGTCTCTGAGCTCTTTTTTTTTTTTTTTTTTTGCTCAAGGATAGCTCTCTACCACTTGGAGCCACAGCTCACTTTTTATTGTTTTATTTTTGTTATTGTTTGTTTTATTTTGAGTAGTTAATTGGAGATAAGAGTCTCACAAGGACTTTCCTGCCTGGGTTGGCTTTGAACTGCAATCCTCAAATCTCAGCTTCCTGAGTAGCTAAGATTACAGGCGTGAGCCAGTGTCTGGCCTGTGAGACTCTTCTCTCCAAATAACGACCAGAAAACCGGAAAACGCACTGTGGCTCCAAATGGTAGAGCACTAGCCTTGGGCAGAAAAGCTCAAGGACAGCTCTCAGGCCCTGAGTTCAAGCCTCATGACCGACAAAAAAAAATTATATATATATATATATATATATATATATATATATATGCAGGATGAAACTAGAACAAGTTTTGTTAAGTGAGGTAAGCCAAGCTCAGAGACAGATGGCGCATGTTCTCTCTGATATGTGCAAGTTAGATCTAAAATGCACTGGGAAGGCTGGGAAGGTGGCTCAGTGGTAGAGTATTTGCCTTGCATGCATGAGGCCCTGGGTTCGATTCCTGAGCACCAAATAAACAGAAAAAGCTGGAAGTGGCGCTGTGGCTCAAGTGGTAGAGTGCTAGCCTTAAGCTGAAGAGCACCTAGGCCCAGAGTTCAAGCCCTACAACCGACAAAAAATAAAATTAAAAAAAAAAAATGCACTGGTAGCTGGGAGCCAGTGGCTCATGCTTCTAAACCCACTAGAAATGGTACTGTGGTTCAAAGTGGTAGAGCGGTAGCCTTAAGCTGAAGAGCTGAGGGACAGCGCCCAGGCCCAGACAGAGTTCAAGACCCACAACCAGCACCCCCCCCCCCCCCCGCCAAATGCACTGGAATATGACAAATTATTTAGGATTCCAGATACACACAGTAAGACTAAAAGAGGATATTCTTAGTACTGAGAAACACAAAAGCTTAATGCTTAAGTACCTTTTAATAGTTATAGAAAATAGGGCCTGAAGCCAGGTGCTGGCGGCTCATGCCTGTAATCCTAGCAACTCAGGAGGCTGAGATCTGGGGATTGCAGTTCAAAGCCAGCCCAGGCAGCAAAATCTGTGAGACTCTTATCTCCAATAAACCATCAGAAAGCCGGAAGTGGTGCTGTGGCTCAAGTGGTAGAGTGCTAGCCTTGAGCTGAAGAGCTGAGGGACAGCGCCCAGGCCAAGAGATCAGGCCTGGGAAGGTGGCTCGGTGGTAAAGTGCTTGCATGCATGAGGCACTGGGTTCGGTTCTTCAGCACCACATAAGCAATAAAAGCAGGAAATGGCACTATGGCTTAAGTAGTAGAGCCTTGAGTTGAAGAGCTGAGGGACAGCGCCCAGGCCAAGAGATCAGGCCCCTCAACCAACAACAATATATAATATATGTATATTATATATTATATACATATATATATATGATATTCTTCTGATACAAACTTCAAGATAGAGAAACAAAAGACTTTTTTTTTTTTTTTTTAGTTTTTAGCTTCTGATGATTCTGTCTTCTCTACTTTATGTAGGGTATGGTATGGTCATGTGTATATCTATGGGAGGGTGGGGAGAGGGACCAGAAATGGAGGGAAAGGATAAAAAGTGCAGCAGTGGAGCTCACTGGTCACGGATGAAAGTGAACTATACAACTTGTGGGTGGAGACGGGAGGGAGGGACTGGGAGAGAGCAAGGGAACAGAATACACTAGTACAAAAGGAAATGTATTCATTTCCTGACTCATGTCGTTTTAATCCCTCTGTACATCACCTCTATCATAACAATACCCTCTGTACATCACCTCTGTCATAACAATAAAATAAATTAATTTTAGCTCACACCTGGGATTCTGGCTACTCAGAAGGCTGAGCTCTGAGGATCATGGTTTACGGCCAGCCAAGACAGGAAAGTCCATGAGACTTATCTACAATAAACCACCAGAAAACTGGAAGTGGAGTTGTGGCTCGAGTGGTAGAGTGTTAGCCTTGAGCTGAAGAGCTGAGGGACAGCACCCAAGCCCAGAGTTCAAGCCCCATGACCAACAAAAAATAAAATTAATTAATTAAATAAATAAAAGGATTTGCAGATAAAATATAAGCATGTAGGACTGAAGATATAGCTCAGTAATAGAGCATTTACTAGTGTGCCAGAACCCTGAGTTTGATCCCAACACCACAACACAGATAGATAGATAGACAGACAGACAGACAGACAGACAGATAGATAGATAGATCAGATTTTTGGGGGGAGGGTTGGTTGTGAGGCTTGAACTCTGGGCTTGGGTGATATCCCTCAGCTCTTCAGCTCAAGGCGAGCACTCTACCACTTGAGCCACAGTGCCACTTCCAGTTTTTTAGTGATTTATTGAAGATAAGAGTTTCATGGAGGGGCTGGGAAGATGGCTCAGTGGTAGAGCGCTTGCCTTGCATGCATGAGGCCCTGGGTTCGATTCCTCAGCACCATATAAACAAAAATAAAAAAGCCGGAAGTGGCGCTGTGGCTCAAGTGGTAGAGCACCAGCCTTGAGCTGAAGAGCTGAGGGATAGCACCCAGACCCAGAGTTCAGGCCCCATGAACGGACCCAAAAAAAAAAAAAAACAGTTTCATGGAGTTTCCTGCCTGGGCTGGCTTTGCACCTCAATCCTCAGATCTCAATCTCCTGAGTAGCTAGGATTACAGGCGAGAGCCACTGGTGCCTGGCAGATCAGATTTTTTTAAAGCCAAGAGAAAGTTTGTTCTTAAACATCATCCAGTTGAGCTTTCTCATTTGTAGAAAAGAAGCACACAACAACTATATCATTGTGTTAATTATTATAATTTTTCTCAGGCTAATATTAAATTGAATTTACATTTCCTGATTATTTGCCAACTGAAGTTGACATGGCACAAACTGGAGGTACACTGCCCCACCTAGGGACTGGTGGTCAGAGTCATGATTGTACCGGGACACAGACTGAATTCTAGTTACCACAAACCAGTTCCAAGAGCAAGAACAGTCTGCTAACCAGCATCTCTACCAAATGATGCTAAGAGATTCTGTATACCTGGAGATTTTAGGGAGATGTACTTAGCCAAATTCTCCCAATGCAGCCAAAGAGTCATGTTTTTAACACTTTAGTTTGTTTTGTGATCTAACCTGAAAGCAATGCCACATAGGCATTGAGAGGCTTGGTTGTCATTGCAAGTAATCGATTCTAATTTCTAATGACACAACTGACTGTTTCCCGTCTTGCTTCTGTGTTCCTCAGGCTCAGAAAAAAAGTTTGAACCAGACCTCCCCCATTGCCACTTCCAAGACGGCAGACGGCCTGCGGCCCGCGCAGATCCCCGGGCTCTTGAACACACTGCCAGGTCAGGCGCCTCTGCAGCAGCTCCCGCAGCTCCCCTCCTCCCACCCCGGCGCACTGTGAAACCTCCTGACACAATTTCACTGCTCTGCAAGCGCTCCTTCCTCTACCTGTCCACTGCCATGTCGGGTCATTGCTAACACACCATGAATGATGGCGAAAGGCACCGTCACTTTGTATCCCGCTGAGAAAGGGAAAAGCACTTCTAATTCTGTCATGACACATTAAATTCTGTGGAGATATGTCTGAGATCCAGGGCACCTGTGGCTTTGAACTGGGTCCTCACGGTGCTCTGTACACAGCAAATCCCTTCCTGATGCTCATAATGCCATGAGTTATATCAGCCTACCCATCTGACCCAGTTACCCCTGTCACTTCCTCCTGCACCCTCTTCCTGTCAATCTTACTTTGAGGTCCTAAAGTACAACAGGTATTGAGCTTGAGGCTCAGACCACAGGGAATTCGACACTAGGGCTTTACTTACTCTTTGTTTTAGTTTTAGTTTTTGCTAGTACTAAGGCTTGAATTCAGGGCTTGGGCACTGTCCCTGAGCTCTTTTGCTCAAGGCTAGCACTCTACCATTTGAGCCTCAGTGCCACTTCTGGCTCTTTCTGTATATGTGGTACTGAGGAATCAAACCCAGGGCTTCATGCATGCTAGGCAAGCACTCTACCACTAGGTCACATTCCCAGCCCCTTCTTTGTTTTTGCTTTTTGATTTTGTCAATTGTGGGTCTTGAACTCTGGGCCTGGGTGCTGACCCTAGCTCTTCGGCTCAAGGCAAGCACTCTACTAGTTGAGCCACAGCACCACTTCCTGATTACTTATTGCCTAAGTAGACCCTTCCCTCTGCCCCTGGAGCTTGTAAAGAAATGTCCTCTTCTGCTGCCTTCCTCACAGCAAGCCTCCACGAGAAAGAAATACCTTTCAAGGGCTGATGGCATGGCTTACAAAGTAAAGCATCTGCCTAACAAGCGTGAGATCCTGAGTTCAAACCCTCCCGGTACTGTCAAAAGAAAAAAAAAATCCCTCTCAAAATATTCCGTCATTTTCATACATGGGACTGTAGGGGACTTGATTTTCCATTCCATTGAACACTGTCTTCTGTTCTCACAGGGCAGGATTCTGCAAGCAAAGTTCTGCCGCTATCCTTAGGGAGCTCCCAGGCACAGCAGGAAAAAGCAGTTGGATCATCTCCTGGCCAGTCAGCTGTGCAGGTAGAAAGCAATTTGCATAGCCTGTCCTTCGTTAGATAGCTAGCAGACGTGTGGTCCTGTCAGCCGCTCTGCTCCTGCTGTCCAGCCTTGTGGATTAATTACATACGAGCAGGAGCTACAGGTGGCAGGGAGCTCAGTGTACAGTGCTTGCCCGCTACATGCAAGGACCTGGAGTCAATCCCCAGTGCCAAACGAATTAACACATACACATATAGATACTCATGTATACATAAACACACATAGTGGTGTATGTGTATGTAGATACACATGTATATATACACAAGAAATGCCCTCACTGCATCTGATCGTAGAATATTCATCCAAATGAACTCCAGGAAATGGAAACAAGAGATTTTTTTCTTCTTTTTTTGTTGGTCATGGTGCTTGAACTCTGGGCCTGGGTGCTGTCTCTGAGCTCTTCAGCTCAAGGCTAGTGCTCTATACCACTTGAATCACAGCTCAAACACTTCAGGTTTTCTGGTGGTTAATTGGAGATAAGAGTCTCACGGATTTTTCTTGCTTGGGCTAGCTTCAAACCGTCTTTCTCAGATCTCAGCCTCCTGAGTAGCTAGGATTACAGGCACCTGGCAAGATGTGGTGGGTTTTACTTGGAACAGTGTTCTGCCACTTTTCTACTGAAAGGACTAACAGGAGGTGTGCTTTGTTTCTAGGTGGACAGTCATTCAGGAGGACAAAAGAGGCCGGCTGCAAAACAGCTAACGAAAGGCGCTTTGTGAGTTACTTTTGGCAGGGTCAATTAATTTTTAATTTTGCTGTAGGTCCCCAACCTTTAATAAGCATTCTACAGAAGCAAGGTTATAATAGTGAATTTACTCACCTTTTAAAAATGTACTTTGAGCTGGACATCGGTGGCTCAAAACTGTAATCCTAGCTACTCAGGCTGAGATCTGAGGATTGCAGTTCAAAGCTGCAGCAGGAAAATCCATGAGAGTCTTACCTCCATTTAACTACCAGAAAGCCAGAGGAGCTGTAGCTCAAGTGTTAGAGCACCAAACTTGAACACAAAAGCCCAGCGACAGTGCTCAGGCCCTAAGTTTAAGTCCCAAGACTCGCACCAACAAAAAAGCCCATTGAAAATCTTTTCCTACAGTTTGTTTTCTGTAGAAACTATATATCAGCAGTAGGTTGAGCCTGCTGTTTACTCTTTTGTTCTTAAGAGTTCTTTGTCTTTCTTTGAGAGACAGAGGGTCTCTGAGAGGCAGGGCTCGCCAAGCTCCTGTGTTTAGCAAGCAGTGTTAGCGTGCACTTGCCGTCCAGTGGTCAGCCCGTACGCCCACCCACAAATGGTCGGAAACCCGGCGCTCTCAGAGTCAGGGTCATAATGATAATAAAATGTAATGTGAACAAACAAGACTGCTACGAAAATGACATTCCTTTAGCCCTTATTTCCTTTGCATGCTAGTAAGCAGCATGATGAGATCTGATTTCCTAATACGACTCTCCATTGACCCTGGCCATTTCTCCTTTGAAGCATCCTGCAGCAGCTTCAGAGGGACCAAGCCCAGGCGGTGACACCTGACAAAAGCCAGTTCCGATCACTGAGCGACGCGGTGCAGAGACTGCTCTCCTACCACGTGTGCCAGGGCTCCACACCCACCGAGGAAGACTTGAAGAAAGGTAATCAGGTGCCCCCAGGCTGCCACGGAAAAGGAAAAGCAGGGTCACCCCCAGCTGGTAGACGAAAAGTTTTCCTCTCAGGCCTGGCTTGTGAAAATACTGTACAGAGGGGTTATAATTACATGAGCAAGGTAATGAGTACATTTCTTATCAAGCATTGTTGCCTCCTCCTTTGTTTCCCCTTCCCATCCCCTCCTCACCCCCCATTGACGTCGACGCTCTTGTGCGTTGCTCTTCTCATTGTTCCATGAGGAATCCTCACCTGCCTTGATACCTCAGGACCTCGGGAAAGAGTGGACAAAAGCATCGTCTGGTCTGCCGCTGCCAATGACATGGCTGGGCCCAGATGCATTTGAGCTTAGGCAGTGTCCCTAGCTGTTGAGTGCTAATAATTAAGTAGTACCCCTAGCTCCAAAAACATCACCCAAGTGATCTAGGGGTTAGCCAAATTTCAAGAACCTGACATAAAAGTTAGGGATCATCAAAATCTTTTTCCCAATCTAGAACTCTGCCCATCCTGCTGCCTCTCCTGCCAAGCCCAGATGCCATCGGCACCCTAACCTACTTGTCCCTTCCTCAGCCACCACCACCACATTGTTCTTCCCGGATCTGAGTACAAGGGCGTCTCTCAGGCCCTTGTGGGCCACCCTTAGCGGTTCAGGGAATGGGGACAAGATCCAGCATTTAACCCAGGTGGGAAGGTGCTAAGAAGGGTAAATCAGGAAATGTGGTCTTGGAGCCTAGAGACAAACGACAGAGCCACAGACCATGGCAGCCAACATGTCTGTCCAGGCGGTTGAGTCTTTGCGTGAAACTGATCTATCTAGCCCAGATCATTAGACTTCATTGGTTGAACTTTTCCAGCTTTTCATGCTGTTGGAAAGAAGTGAAGTCTGCGGTCCTCTAGTCATTGATATCTGTCCTTGACCACTTAGTGATATTCAAAAGCATGTCATTAGCCAGGCACCAGTGGCTCATGCCTGTAATACTCAGGAGGCTGAAATCTGAGGATTGTGGTTCAAAGCCAGCATGGGTAGAAAATTCCCCATAAGACTCTGTCTCCAATTAACCACTCAATAACTGGAAGTGGCACTATGGCTCAAAGTGGTAGAGCACTAGCCTTGAGCAAAAAGAGCTTAGGGACAGCATCCAGGTCCTTAGTTTAAGCCCCAAATCCAACAACAACAAAAAAAGCATGTTGTTGTATGTTGTTGAAGTATAGCCAAGCACTGTTGGCTCATGCCAGTAACCACAGCTAATTACTGAAGATCGTGGTTCAAAGCTAGCTCAGGCAGAAAGGCTAGCGCTCTACCACTTGAGCCACAGTGCCACTTCTGGCTTTTTCTTCTTGCTTATATGGTGCTGAGGAATCGAACCCAGGGCCTCATGCATGCAAGGCAAGTACTCTACCACTGGGCCACCTTCCCAGCCCCTCTATGACAGTCTTAACTCCAATTAACCATCAGAAAAGCTGTAAATGGCTGTAGAGTTCAGGTTGTAGAACCCTGAGTGAAAAAGCTGAGGAAGGGAACAGTACCCTGAGATTAAGCCCTACTACTGGCACCAAACAACAGCAAAAAAAGATGATTGGATGATTTATATACTGACTTTTTTCTTCCTCTCTTTTTAAAGTGGACAATGAATTTGAAACAGTTGCCACTCAGCTCCTAAAAAGGACCCAAGCTATGCTGAACAAATACAGATGCCTGCTTCTAGAAGATGCCATGGTAAAGTTGAGATCCCAAATCTGTTTGCCTTTGCATCTGCATGCCCAGAGCTACCTGGCCAGAGAGAAGATGCTCAAGGAATTGTATTTGGAGCATCTAGTTTAAGAAGCACAAATATTTAACATTATAGCAAAATGTACACTTAGATCTTCTTCCTGCTAATGACCACAGCTAACATTTGCTGAACTTCCATCAGTTGGTCACAATCAATACTGTTTTCTTGTTTAACAAATAAGGAATGGTTAAGTGAAATGAGCCAGCTGTAGAGAGACAGCACAGCGTGGTGTCATTCCTATGTGAAATCTGAAACAGTTGATCCTGTGCCCCAGAAGTTGAGCCGTCCCTTGAGTGGTAGAGATCCTGGGTATTCCCAGGCTAGGACAAAGAGAAGGGAGGGAGACGTCGAGGAAGGCTGATCAGTGTGTGCTAAGTTGCCGCTGGATATGAGCCAGCAGTTGTAGTTGTGCTGTTGCACTGTGAGATGAGGGTGGGTACTAGTTATACGTCATATCTCATGAACATGGAAGGTCTTGGAATAAATGCTCTCAAGAACAGAGGTGGTGGGGCTGGGAAGGTGGCTCAGTGGCAGAGCGCTTGCCTTGCATGCATGAGGCCCTGGGTTTGATTCCTCAGCACCACATAAGCAGAAAAAAAAAAGCCGGAAGTGGTGCTATGGCTCAAGTGGTAGAGCACTAGCCTTGAGCTGAAGAGCTGAGGGACAGTGCCCAGGCCCCCATGACCAGACCCCCCCCCCCAAAAAAAAAAAAGAACAGAGGTGCTTGAAGAAGTAGATGTGCTTAAACTGATGGCACAGGATATGTACATACTGAAACATCATAGGTACGGCATTAATACATATATATTTAGAGAGAAATTTTTGTGTATTTTTAGGTATCAGTTAAAAATTAAAAATAATGACACTAGGCACTCATGGCTCACACCTGTCATCCTAGCTACTAAGAAGGCTGAGATCTGAGGATCGTAATTGAAAGCCAGCCTGGGCAGGGAAGTCTATGAGACTCTTATCTCCAATAAACTCAGAAAGAGCCAGAAGAGGCGCTGTGGCACAAGTGGTAGAGCGCTCGTCTTGAATACATAGAGGCTCGGGACGAAGCACAGGCCTTGAGTTCAAGCCTTAGCACTGGCCAAAAAAAAATTTTTTTTTTCTTCTTAAAGGCTGAGTGTGCTGGCATGTCGCTCAACAGAACAGTAAGTTCAAAGTCAGCCCAGGCAAAGTTAGTGAGCCCAAGGTTCAAAACCAGCTCAGGCAAAAAAGTACATGAGACTTTTAACTCCAATTAACCCACAAAAAGCCAGAAGTATAGCTGTGGCACAAATTATAGAACACCAGCACTGAGCAAAAAAGCCAAGTGAGAGCCCCAGCAAAGGCATCCACACACAAAAGAGAGATTGTAAATATATGTTATACACACACACACACACACACACACACACACACACACACACACACGACAAACTCTTCTAAAATGACGTTGAGACAATCACAAATGGCCAGCTCTGCCGTTTGTAAGCAAGAATACTGATTTTGTCAAGTAAGCTTTTATCTGCCATGAACCTGCATGCTAAATAAAACCCAGAAATGTAAGACTTGAAATTTAATATTTACTAAAAAAGAAACTTCAATGGAAACATAGCTGAATATAAAGTAAAAGGTCATCCTAGTGAAAAGATTTCTAAAATATATTAAGTAAAGGAGGACAAGAAAGGTATGCTAAAAAAAATAAATACCTATATGGTTTATGTGCAGTGTGTTCCTAAAACATCTCTGGGAGAGGACTGTGTTTTACTGTATTTTATTGCATGTGTGCCAGTACTGTGGCTTGAACTCAGGGCCTCACATTCTTGCTCAGTTTTCTTGCTCACAGCTGGTGCTCTACCACTTCAGCCATGCCTCCGGTTCTAGCATTTTGCAGGTAAATTGGAGATAGTCTTGAGAACTTGTCTGCCAGGACGGGCCTTGAGCCTCAATCATTGAATTTCATCCTCCTCGGTAGCTAGGATTTTAAGTAGGCCACCAATATGTGGCTGGATGAGGCCAGCTCCAGGAAGGAGGCGCAGGTGACAGTGTATGTGCTGGGACATAAGACAGGAAAGCTTTTTACTGCCCTGCAGTATCTTTTGGATTTGTACCAATATGTAAATTTCTTTTAAAAAAATCTCAGTTGACCAAGAAGCATTGTACTGATAACCTGACTTATGGAATTTAACTCCTTTGTACAACTACTTAATAACATGTTGTAAAAATTAAACTGCATCTAATAGGACTAGATGGGACCTGACCAGAAACCAAATTCTCCTGATTGCTTGCTCGTGATGCAAGGCATGGGAAATGACTTGCTTCTCTCCTTTGCAGCGGATCACTCCCTCTGCGGAGATGGTGATGATCGATAGGATGTTCACCCAGGAGGAGAGAGCGTCCCTGTCCCGGGACAGGCGTCTGGCACTTGTAGACCCTGGTAGGAAATGGCAGTGTGTAGTAGCAGAGGGATCCTGTCAACATTCAAAGTTCTGGGGCCGGAGGGGGGGCGGGGGGGAGGGCTGTGGGACATCTGTATGAACTGACCCTTGGGTGAGACCAAAAAGTAGAACATGAATTCTGGGAAGAAAATAAAAAACCTAGATAGAGCCAGGTGCATGTGGCTTATGCCTGTAATTCTATCTGCTCAGGAGGCTGAGATCTGAGGATCGGCATTTGAAGCCAGCCAAAGAGTAAAGTCCCTGAGACTTCTCTCCAATAAACTACTCCCCAAAAAAGGCAGAAGTTGAGCTGTGGTTCAAGTGGTAGAACACTAGCCTTGAGCAAAAAGAAGCTCAGCATCTAAGCACTGAGTTCAAGCCCCAGGACTGGCACCACAAAGAAACAAAACCCTAGAGTTGAGAGCAGTGTGTGACTACTTGAACATCTCTAATCCAAAGTCCAAACTGGAATCTGACATTCAGTTACATGATATTTTTTTCTCATTGTAAGCTTCAACTTTTCAGTCTTTCTCTGGTCATGGAGAACTAACTTGAAAAGGCTTCTCAACAGTAATTAAACCTCAGCATGTTATTGAAGGTCCTTATAAAAAATGAATGAATGTCTTGCTATCTTCAGTTCACCATTAGGAATGAAACAGCCCCAACTATAATCCTTGAATTGTGCTGGTCCATTGAAGTACAATCCTCTAATCCTATCAGTTTCCAGTCAGCTAAATGCATTTTAAGTTTGTTGCATGCTCTACCTTTTAAAATGACTTCTGACCAGAACCCAGTGGCTCACACCTGTAATCCTAGTTACTCAGGAGGCTGAGATCTGAGGTTCATGATTGGAAGCCAGTCTGGGCAGAAAAGTCTCTGAGACTCTTACCTACAATAAACTATTCAGAAAAAGCCAGAAGTGGTGCTATGGCTCAAGTGATAGAGCTCTAGCCTTGAGCCCAAAGAAGCTCAGAGATGGCACCCAGGCCCTGAGTTTAAGGCCCAGGACTGGTAAAAACAAAACCAAACCCTTGAGTCAATGACGTGGCTGTGATCCTAGCCTGTAATCCTAACTACCCAGGAGGCTGGGATCCGAGGATCAAGGTTTGAAGCCTGTGTGGGCAGACAAAATCAATGAGATTCTTTAGCTCATATTAATCAGCCAAAAGCTGGAAGTGAAGTCTCAAGTGGAATAGCACCAACCTTGGATTAAAAAGCTAAAGGAGAGGGAATTCAAGCCCCCAGTGCCAACATCCACACAGAGTCTTGTATTACTCTGTAATGGTGTTCACCTGTAATCCCAGCATTCAGAAGCTGGAGGCGGGAAGATCATGAGTACATTCCTCTTTACTTTTAAAATTCTTCTATATTTTTGCATGAGCCTCCGAATTTTTGTTTTGTTTCTTTTGAGATGAAGTCTCCCATGTTTCTCAGGCTGGTCACAAATCCATGCACTGAATTGATCATTCCTGCCCCAGCCCTCTGGATAATAAAGACTACAGTTCTTTTTTTTTTTTTTTTTTTTTGGTGCCAGTCCTGGAGCTTGAACTCAGAGCTGAGCACTGGCCCTGAGTTTGTTTTATTTTATTTTTGTTTTGTTTTTGCTCAAGGCTAACACTGTACCACTTAAGCCACAGAGCCACTTCTGGCTTTTGGGGGAATAACAGAGTCTCATAGACCTTTCTTCCTGGGCTGGCTTCAAACCATGATCCTCAGATCTTCAGCCTCCTGAGTAACTAAGATTACAGGTGTGACCACAGCACCCGTCAAGGACTACAGCTTAAATTTTTTTTTTTTTGTCGGTCGTGGGGCTTGAACTCTGGGCCTGGGCGCTGTCCCTCAGCTCTTCAGCTCAAGGCAAGCGCTCTACCACTTGAGCTACAGCGCCACTTCCGGTTTTCTGGTGGTTTATTGGAGATAGGAGTCTCATGGTCTCTCCTGCCCGGGCTGGCTTTGAACCGCGATCCTCAGATCTCAGCCTCCTGAGTAGCTAGGATTACAGGCGTGAGCCACCAGCGCCCGGCTACAGCTTAAATTTTGATACTATCTATAAAAGATTTTTTTGGCAGTACCTGGGTTTGAGCCCAGAACCTCACACTTGCTAAGCAAATGCTCTACCAGTTGAACTATACCTCCTCAAGCCCTTTTTGCTTTTTTTTTTTTTTTCTGTGTGTGTCAACTATGGAGCTTGAACTCTGGGCCTGGGCGCTGTCCCTCAGCTTTTCAGCTCAAGGCAAGCACTCTACCATTTGAACCACAGTGCCATTTCCAGTTTTCTGGTGGTTAAGTGGAGATAGGAGTCTCACAGATGTTCCTGCCTGGGCTGGCTTTGAACTATGATCCTCAGATCTCAGCCTCCTGAGTAGCTAGGATGCCAGGTAGGAGCCACCAGCATCCAGTGATTTTTGTTATTTTTGAGCTACTGTTTCAAGCTTTCCAGGCTAGCGTGGTCCTCCATCCTGTTTATGCCTCCACTGTAATTGACAGGCACAGTCCACCATACCTAGCGTTTTCTGTTGAGAATGGGTCTGACGATCTTCCTGCTTGGGCTGGCTTCCAACTGTACCTCTCCCGAGTAGCTAGTTTACAGTTTATGATAGTGTGAGCCGCTACGGCCAGCTCGGATTTACTCATTAATGTTCTTTCCGCTCCTATCTGCAGAGGGCTTCCAGGCCGACTTCTGTTGTTCCCTGAAGCCTGATAAATCTGCTCACGAGATCCAGTGTGGCCGCAGTGACCAGCCTGGTGGGAAAGTGACCAGCTCTTTACATCAGGGGGCTAAGGCCCAAAGCAGAGACCGAGCCAAACCAGGCGTGGCCGAACCACTGAATCATGACCAATCTCATGCAGTGCCTAACCACATGGTGGTCTCCGCAGAGGGGAGCGTTTCTAAAAACACAGAATGCCGAGTGCCGACCCGTGACAAAGCGGGCCCAGTTCAGTACCGGAGTGCGAACGAGGACAGGGGCAGCCGGAGAGACCCCGTGAGGGCGGGTGAGGGCTCTCCGGGCGCCGAGGGGCCCCGCAAAACCTTGTCCAGACCCGATCATGGTACTGACGGCAAGCTGTCCAGCCTCCTGGTGGACCCTCACCTGGAGATGACGTGCAACAGCTCCTTCCAGGACAGGGCGCTGAGGAGTTCGCCAAAGAATGAAGTTCTGCGCACCGACATCCTGAGGGGCTCGGGGGAGCCCCAGGCCGACCTCCAGCTCACCAAGAGTTTAGAAACAACTTTTAAGAACATCTTGGAGCTCAAAAAGGCTGGGCGGCAGCCTCAGAGCGACCCCACGGTGAGCGGCTCCATGGAGTTAGACTTCCCCAACTTCTCTCCGATGGCCTCGCAGGAAAACTGCCTGGAAAAGTTCATCCCGGACCACAGTGAAGGCGTCGTGGAAACGGACTCCATATTAGAAGCAGCTGTAAATAGTATCCTAGAGTGTTAATAGCAGCCGTCCCTCCCCACCCGACACCCGCCCCGGACACGCTCCATTCTCTCCCGGCAAAGCAAATGGAAACGGTCTCCTGTCTCCAGCCTGCTAGACCTCCGCACAGGTTCCTCCTCCTTCTCCTCCTTTTCCTCCTTCTCCTCCCCTTTTCCCCTTCCTTCTCTTCCTCCCCCTTTTCCTCACTTCCCCACCTCGCAGTCCTGGTCTTTGTTTAAGAGCAATACCGCCATGGTTCCAGGGAGATCTTCGTGCAGTCTGATAGGCCCCTCACCCTCCCAGTGTTACCAAAGTGCTTACAGTCTTTCGTTGTTCTTGTTTATTTGTTTTCTTTTTCTTTTTTTCATTTTTTTAAAACACTGTCACTCAATGAGATCATAATACACTTGGCCCTTGGGTAAAATTTTGACAATCAGTAAGTCATTTGAAAAGAACAGACTTATTAAAAAACAAAAATCAAACAGGACTGATAGAAGCGACTTTGTAGAGAATATCTCACTGCAGCTCTTAAGTTTAGTGGGCGTTTTTGGTTTGTGTTTTTGGTGGGGGGTGCTGGTACAGGAAGACCGCCCATGTCTCCCGACGCGGCCCCCTGGGAGGTTAGTTGCTGGCTGCTCTGCCTGGACCGCACAGCTGGTCTCAGACGCCAGCAGCACACAAGGCAGGGCGCCTGCGCCGCCATCCCAGTGTTTTTCCCACGTCCAGGAGCAAAGCTCACGCTCTCGGGTTTCCCTGTGCCGATCTCACCTAGGGAATGCTCGGAACTCAGCTCAGCGTGTGAGTTGAAATCATCTCAGCAGGGTAAATACGGGAAAAGGGAAAAGTTGAGTGTACTGGGGAGGCTGGGGTAGAGCCATGAGGATTAGCCTATGTATATATGTCAAAGCATATATATGTTAACTATTGAGAAAAACAAGAGTTGTGCGTTTTCTAGTCGGGCGGAGCCAGCGTGCCGCGCAGGCTCTCGTGTTGCTGGGCTCTGTTTTGCTTAAACTCTCCAGTAGCCAAGCATCAAAAAGCACTTTTGTTGGAAAACTAGGTTTTCAGTTTTCTTTTTTTCATTTTCAACTTGAAGGAGACTTTGCCCTTGTTCATTCTTCTTGTCTGACAGCAGTAGTCACCCCTGGCAGCATTCATTACCAAAACACAGACACACCAAAGGTAACCAGCCGGCCCAACACTGAAGGAAAGCGCTGAGCCCCCAGACCCATGACAGCCGAAGGGAAGGCCCGCCACGGTTTGCATTTGCCTCGTGTTCATCTCGTGAACGCGACTCACTGCTTTATTTCTCTCTGTTCAGGGAGCTTCCCCATCCTCCTTCCTCTTGCACCTGCCCGCTCACCCCTCTCTGTTGCCACTTCCAGCGACAGTGGTGGTTACTGAGAAAGCCACCAGAGGTGCTGCGTTTGAGCTATGGAGACCCACAGTCCTCTTGATTACCTTGGGTGCCTCTGCACCCACAGGTCTGCTGTGGACATGTCCCCCAAATGGGGGTGACCCCAAGTGTCATTATGTTGGGCATTTCCTTTCCACGTTGGCCTACCATAGAAAGGAAGGCTTCTGATTTTTTCAAAAACAGCACTAAGCCAGGCATGGTAGCCCAATCCCAGCATTCTCCAGCTCTGATGCTGAGGTAGGAAGACTTCAAGTTCAAGGCCAGCCTGGGCTACATAGTGAGACCCTGTCTCAAAAACAAACAACAACAACAAATAAAAGCCCATGGCAACAGACCTGTTGCCTTCCTGGCACTCTGTCTCACTGCCCAAAGCAGCCCTGTGAGCAGGCAGTCTACAGAAGGCTCTGCTGCTCCCTCCCAGCTCTGGCCTATGGAAATAGCAAAATCTGAGCCATTGTAGGGCTACCATTTTTCCCCTTATTTGTGCCAATGTCCAAGTTGAAGATTTCCCCTTCTTCCTGTACTACAAGATAAGTTAGGATTGCCAGTTGGAACTTTGTCTGGGCAGCCCTGATCAGCGCCTGCCCTGAACCCCAGATTTCACACGTTCCTCTCCTCGGCCTCACACTCCCCCTCTCACAACGCTCCCTGGAAGCCTTCACCTAGGCTGCTAATGAATTATATTAATCACTGCAAATCAGGAATTTTTAAGAGACAAGCTTCATGTACATTGTCACCTCTTCCCTCCCCTGCCCCGTCACCCCAATCAATCCTAGCTTTTTTATAGGTCATCATACAGGTTTTCAAACCCCTAAAACGTATCCAGCTAATGGAGAGCCTAAATCACCCAAATGAACACTTGTAAATTTTTGTGTACTTGTATGTAAGTTTACTTTTTATGGAGGAAAGATTCTAGATAACGACAAATGAAGACTATGAAATGTATTTTGCTCCTGTGATTAGGTTCTGCGCACATGGGTCATAGCTGGACCGTTGAGCCCCTCTGGCTGGTGCGCGGGGGGCGGGGGGCGGGGCGCTCAGCCTCTCACGGCCAATGTTCAGTGTTTGGGTTCATTAGTCAAAGTTAAGGAATAACTTGTGCTTCGTATCAAAAAAGAAAAAAAAAATCATTCTCCTTTAAAAAAAATTTCCTGTTTGTTGTTGTGGAAAAGTGTGAATTTGTTATTACGCATTTGATTTTGTGTCCTTAAGTACTGCCTAAAGATAAAGCAAATTTTAAACTGGCAATTACGAAAAAGAAACATTTTAGCTCTGAAGAGTTTAGTAGACTCTGTTAGATTAGGGAGGCCTTACAGACTGACGACTACAGAAGACGCGTCACTCGCTGGCAGTGTGGGGTGGCTTTTATTTGCTTAAATACCTTCATTTGTATAGTATGTCTCACTTGAAATTGCTTTGTATACATTTTGTAAAAATATTTATAAAATGTTTTGTAAAAAAAAAAAAAGTATAACAAATTGCAGTTTATTTTGTTATGTTGGATAAATACTGTTAAAAAAAAAAAAAGAAACCAGTCAGTAACTATATTGTTAATCCATGGTTAGGAAATGTTTAGTTGGAGATTACAAAATGAAACAACCATTGCAATACAGCCAAAGATTTGGGAAAATGTGTAACTGTGATTGTCTTGATTTTGCAAACAGGAGTGGCGATCTGCCCCGGAAGAAAAAGGAGAACGGTCAGGGGGAACTGTGTGAAGACCTTCACCATTTCCCAAAGGATCCTCACTAGTGGGGAGACAGGGCGTCCCAAACAGGACGAATTAAACGAAGCTGCTCAGTTAGGAAGTGTGATCTTGTACCTATCTGTCCCTACTCCTGTCACATGGGTCCTTAGCTAAGGAAGGGGACAAGGGATTGGGGAGTATCACAAATGAGCCTCACCCTGCAGAAGTTTTCTCAATGTGGGAAAGTGAAGAGACAATTCAAGATTTTTCTTGTGTGTTCTTTTTGCCAGTCCTGGGGCTTGAACTCAAGACCTCCGCGCTGTCCCTGCGCTTCGTTTGCTCAAGGCTAGCACTCTACCACTTAGCCACAGTGCCTCTTCCGGCTTTTTCTGTTTATGTGATACTGAGGAATCGAACCCAGGGCTTCCAGCATGCAAGGCCAGCACTCTACCACTAAGCCACATTCCTAGCCCTGAAGAAGATATTTTACCTAACTGGTACTCGAGAATTCTGTATTTCTCCACTGGTTCCCATATTTGGCCAAGTCAACAGTAGAAACTCCTCCAGGCCCAGATCTGTAAAACCAGCCCCAGGTCACCCTTCTGAGTTCGAACTCTCCCAAGTATGACTCTACCCAGATTGTTAGGGAAATTTCCAGAGAGTGAGATGTATTTCAGGGAGCACATGTCTCTTTGAGGCCTAGAATTTACACTTGTGCTCCTTTATGGTTTAATCAGTGGGAAGTAGTTCTTAGAGGACTGTCCGAAATCCTGATGATCGCATCACTGCCTTCATGATAAACCTGTGTCCAGCCACACACTGGCAGCAGCCCGGAGAGTGAAGCCCATCTCTGCCTTCCCGGGGGCATGGTCAGTCGTTCATGAATGCAGTGAAAACCCTCAGCCTTGTGTATTTAAGGCACAGGGAACTGACACTGAGGACTGTTGGAAGGAAAGGCAAAGGAAAAGAGAAACCTCTGCAGGGTGGCTCAGGCAGGGTATGGCTTTGCCTCAGCCTCACGTTTTCTCCCTGAGACATTTAGGCCCTTAAGCATCCAGCCGAAGAGGGACAGTTCATTTTATCAGCCACCAACTATGTCAGAAACAGTTGAGTATGGCAGGGCTGCTAGACCTTAGGATATACGGATAATTCAGCTAGGATTTCTCCTCTCTAGGAACTCACAGTCTATAGAGAATACGGCGCTGACATTTTTCTAGACTGCTAGTTGCTAGAGAGCTGTAATCTGTATTTCTGTGCCCTGGCACTACATAGTTTCCTGAGTTATATCTGAAAAAGAAAAAAAAAACCTATGATACTTTCTTCAAGAAAGAAGATAAAGGAATTTCATAGTTACATTAAATATGTGGTGAGATCTAGTTCCATATACCTTTGTAGTATAAAGTGGATAGATCTGCAGGCAAAGGTATGACTCTGTAGTTCACTTGTGAGGCCCTGGGTTAAATCTCAGATACTGGCTGGGAATGTGGCTTAGTGTAGACGCTTGCCTAGCATTCATGAAGCCCTCAGTACAGTATACATAAACAGAAAAAACTAGAAGTGGCGCTATGGCTCAAGTGGTAGGGTGCTAGCTCAGGGACAGTGCCCAGGCCCTGAGTTCAACCCTCAGTACTGGCAAAAAAGGAAGGAAAGAAGAGATGGGAGGGAGGGGCATGGCATGTTGGCTCATGTCTGTATTCCTAGCTACTTAGAAGGATTGAGATCTGAGGATCACAGTTCAAAAGCAGTCCAGACAGGAAAGTCGATGAGGCTCTTATCTCCAGTTAACCACCAGAAAATTGGAAGTGGAGTTGCAACTCAAAATGGTAGAGTGCTAGCCTTGAGCAAAAAGAGCTCAGGGAAAAAAACCTGACCCAGAGTTCAAGCCCCAAAACCAACAACAAAAATAATAAAAACTTAAAAGGCTCATGGCCCCTTCCCGGCCTGGGAAGGTAAGAACAGCTGAAAAGATCTTGCACAGTCCTCTAACAAATATTAGGAAAGCAAATATTTAGATCTGATGTCTCTGACCACCTCCAAAATTCTATGTACATAAGGGAGAGATACCAGTTCACAAGAGAAATGGGAAGAACAAATTATGAGGAAGGCTAAAATCAGGAACGTTTATAAGGCTGTAAATAGACATGGCATATTCTCATTCAGTCACCTCCTATTGGAATAAAATTCAAATCTTGTTTTCCCCAGGGTATGCAGTCACTGTTCAGTAAACACCAATTCAAGCTAGGTGCCAGTGCCTCATGCCAGTAATCCTAGCTACTCAGGAGGCTGAAATCTAAGGATCATAGTTCAAAGCCAGCTTGGGCAAAAAAGTTCAATTAATCACCAAAAAGCTGGAAATAGAGCTGTAGTTCAAGGGGTAGAGTGCTAGCACTGAGCACAAAAGTCCAGGGACAGAGCCTAGCCCTTGAGTTCCAGCCCAAAGGCTAGCAAGGGAACACACACACAACACACACACACACACACACACAAATTAGTGAACTTTATTTGGCTGAAAGGACTTGTCTTTTTACTTTCTTTTTTTTCTTTTTGTTGGTCTTGAGGCTTGAACTCAGGGCCTGGGCACTTTCCCTGAGATTTTTCCCTCTCTACCACTGAAGAGCCACAGCTCCACTTCCAGTTTTCTGATGATTAATTGGAGATAAGTCTCATGAACTTTGCTGCCCAAGCTGGCTTCGAACACCAATTCTCAGATCTCAGCCTCCTGAGTAGCTAAGGATTACAGGTGTTGAGCCACACCAAGGCCAAAGGCCAGCCTTTCCCATCTTTTTTTTTTTTTTTTTTTTTAATGGGTCCGGTCGTGGGGCCTGAACTCTGGGCCTGGGCGCTGTCCCTCAGCTCTTCAGCTCAAGGCTAGCGCTCTACCACTTGAGCCACAGCACCACTTCCGGCTTTTTTCTTTTTGCTTTTGTGGTGCTGAGGAATCGAATCCAGGGCCTCATGCATGCAAGGCAAGTGCTCTACCACTGAGCCACCTTCCCAGCCCCAAGAATACTTATTCTTAATGCAAAACTACCCAATCAGACTAACCCAGAGAAAAAAGATGGGATGGGCTGGGAAGGTGGCTCAGTGGTAGTGCTTGCCTTGCATGCATGAGGCCCTGGGTTCGATTCCTCAGCACTACATAAGCAAAAAGGAAAAAGCCGGAAGCGGCTCTGTGGCTCAAGTGGTAGAGCGCTAGCCTTGAGCTGAAGAGCTGAGGGACAGCTCCCAGGCCCAGAGTTCAGGCCCCACGACCGGACCCCTCCCCCTCCCCCCAAAAAAAACGAATAAATATTCTCCTAGCACCACCTGCTGGTAGTAGTGGAAAATCATATCCTCAATCCTGACTTCCGAAGTCCCAAAAGAACAACAGGAAATATTATTACAACACTGAAAATCCTTTTCCCTTTAATACTGTAGCTACTGAAAATCTTTTATTTTTTTTTTTAATTTGTAGACACAAGAAGGTACAAAGCATCTATTTGCTTTTGTCCCCTGTTGACTATGTGATGGTGCTCACATTCAGGTGAACCTTGTTTTACCTCTTTACCAAGATGCTGAGAGAATGAGCCTGAAGCCAAGTGCCTGTGGCTCACACTGTAATCCTAGCTGCTCAAGAGGCTGAGAACTCGGGATCACGGTTCGAAGCCGGCCAGGGCAGGCTCTCCAATTAACCAACAGTCAGGAGCAGAACTGTGGTTTAAGTGGTAGAGTGCTAGCCTGGAGCAAAAAAGGGACGGGACCGCGCGCTTAGGCCCGGAGTTGAAGCCCTAGTACATACACACACCTGAAATCACACACGTCAGTGACTCTGACCGTGTTGTCTTTGGACACCTACTCATCAGGTGTCCCTACTCATCAGCGGCTCCGTCCATAGCCTTATCGTTCTGGATGGACTGGGTACTTGTCACTGAGTCGATGCCCAGCGTGGCCGCCTCACCCTCGGATGCCGACGCCCCAGCGGCACCAGGGTAACAGGTGCAGAAGGAGCGCAGGCGGTATGAACCGAGTCCCCAGTGTCGAGGAGGCGTTTCTGGTCACGACTAAGCATCCCAGGGTGGACAGATTCCCGCGGGGGCCTGGCTACTCGCTCCCGTCTCATTCGGGCCTCCGGGCGCTCAGCAGGAAGGTCCATTTTTAAGCCCGCACCAAGAGAGAGGAAACAGGAACGGAGCCGCGGTCCTCCCTGGCTCGAGGGCCGAGCGGACGGAAGCCGAGCCACTTTCTCGTCCGCTCTCATCACCCACAGCCTCCACCCATCCGTGAGAGCCACAGCCAGGCGCACGCCTCCCGCGCGGCGGACGCTCAACACCAGCGCCGCCATTCTCACTTTGCGGAACGCAGACCGGAAGTGACGCGCCGGAGACACGCCGGAAGCCGCGGTGCACGGTGGGAAGCGTGCTGCGGCTCGCCACCCTGGCGGCCAAGTTTCCTGTAATTATAGCTCTGAAAAGGACTTGGTTTTTTTTTTTTTAAAAAAAAACATAAGCTCTAACGCGCTTGGGAGGGGTGAGAAAGCCTTTTACAACTTTTTTTTAGAATCCGGGTTAGCAAGGCCTCTTTACTGCCTCCTAAGTGGGCGGCGGCCACTTGGGTCCTCCAACGCGAGCTAGAGCAGACGTCTCTATGGTCGAGGAACCATAGAGCAGATCCTGTTTTCATTGCTTGTTGGTCGTGCGCATGCTCAGCAGCCGCCGCACGTCAAAGATGGCGGAAGAAGGGTGAGTGTTTTCTGATTTCTTGTTTGGGGCGTTGAGTATCCGATGCCATCCATGCCGTGTGTTCCTTGATGGTAGGAAAGAAGGATACACGTCGATTGTAGGAAGAGAAGAGGCTCCGATGTCGGGGTGGGGACTGAGGGAACGGCTTAGAGGCCTGGGTTATGTCGAGCTGGAGGGCTGACTCCCAAGCAGCGAGTAAGCAAGTTGAGGTACGGAGTGCAGAATGGCTGAACAGTGGGAGTTGGGCTCCCCTAATCTGACTTCAGAGTACGATGTGTTTCCGGTCTCCCCAACTCGCTCGGTTATGGTGTCTGAAACGCCGAGGCAGTAAAAGCCCTGTTCACGTACACGAACCCAGGGACTAAGACGTTCGTAAATTTAATTTTTCCAGTCCTGGGGCTTGAACTCAGGGGCTGGGCACTGTCCCTGAGACTCTCTGTGCGCAAGGCTAGCACTGTACCACTTGAGTCACAGCGCCACTTCTGGCTTTTTGTGTTTATGTGGTACTGAGGAATCGAACCCAGGGCTTCATGCATGCTAGGCAAGCACTCTACCACTAGGCCACCTTCCCAGCCAATCCTGAAGAGTTTGAAGACAGCAGTGTTAGGCAAAGTCCAAGATGCTGGATTAGTTTGGAATTACACTGAACGGTAAATGCTGTTTACTGACCTTAGTTTTTTTTTTTTTTTATCAGGGAAAGAAAAAGGATCCCTTTGGTTCCAGAAAATCTCCTGAAAAAGAGGAAAGCTTATCAGGCCCTCAAAGCCACACAAGCCAAGCAAGCACTTTTAGCAAAAAAGGAGGTAATGCCTGGGAGCCAGGAATTTGAATTGGATGAATGTTTATATGTCTCAGCCTCCTGAGTAGCTAGGATTACAGGCATGAGCTGCCAGCTCAGTCTTTTTGTTGTTCATTTTTTAAATTTGCTTTAATTTTCCCTTTTATAAGACGAAGGTAAACTATGCTTATTTGTTCCCCTTTGCAGTGAGTTATTGGTACTGTCATTAGCCACTTGGGAATTGTAGAAGTAAACTATGAACATAAAGTGATAATGGTGGTCTCTTCTTTACCACAGAGGAAAGGAAAAGCATTTAGATTTAAGCGACTGGAATCATTTCTCCATGAATCCTGGCGACAGCAGCGTGACATAGTGCGTGTCAGACGTCTGGATGTGAAACCTCGTGCTTTGGAAGTTCCTGATAAACATACCTTGGCCTTTGTTATACGCATCGAAAGGTAGAATACTCTCCTCTTTGAAGATTCTTGAGGCCGGGGCAACTATTGCTTCAGCTTTCTAGGGAAGTGAGGAGACAGGCCTAAACCTGCTTTCTCAGCAAGTTGCACTAGGAAATCAGGGTTGAGCACAGCAGACAAGTGCCATAGGGTAAAGGGCGGGATGGGGTGGGCAGCGTTTGAGGATACCCTCTCTACAGCAGGAACTTGAATTGAGTCTTGAAAGACACAGATTGAATTCACCAGTGTTGGCAAAAACTTTAAAGCATGGATCCAAAGTCCTGAAATTGGAACTTGCATTATCTTTCTAGGAACTAAAGGCTGATGGAGTTGGAAAGAAATTTCTACATGTAGTGTTACTTTTCTTACCTGTCCCTACCGTTACATATAACTGTCTCTCTTAATGTGAAGCCTATGATTTTAAATATTGATGAGCTGTGTGTTCTTCAGTCTTTTTCTTTGACTCTTTTGTTAGTTTCTAATTGGGTTTCCTGCTTCTGGTGTCACAGACCCAGATCTTTCCTGTAGGCTGCCTTAGTGATGGTCAGGAAGCAGTCGAAATGTTCTTCTTTGGCTTAAAGTCTTCAAGAGCCTTTACCACCCCTGCAGCTTGCCTAGGTGTGTCACTGTATCTCCTCATCCTACCTGTTCAAGGATCAGTGCCCCAGCCTTCCACATCATTACAGGAAAACTATCTGCTTACTCCTTCCCCTAAACTGAAGATAGATGTGTCCTTCTCTGTGTGCTTGGGAGACTGACTGCTGTTGCTGCTCATTTCAGAACTGTCGGGGTGAGTTTACTGGTGAAGAGGACCATTGCAATACTTCGTCTGAAGAAATTGTTTAGTGGTGTCTTTGTCAAAGTCACTCCCGATAACATGAAAATGTTGCGTATAGTGGAACCTTATGTGACCTGGGGGTGAGTACATTTTTCATGTGAATTAGCTTGTATTGTGTGAGGGTGCACAGGGGATTGGCCTCCATAGCTCATGTGTCTTTGTTGGCTACTATGCTGAATCCAGTTCCAGGAATTAACCGTAGGGATGTGGGGTGGGCAGAGGGGAGAAAGAAAGAACGGTGTTGGTGATAGTCAGAACAGGGTCAGAGCATCAGTTGTAGGTGAAGTAGAGTGGCTGAGAGGTTGATACTTGGGGGTCAGAAGTTGAGTTGGTGGATATGCTTGTATAAAAATATTAGTCAAACATGAAAACCCAGCAAAAGGGTCAGGCTCAGTGTACGTGCCTGTCATACCAATTGCTTGACAGCCTGAGATATTGACAGTTGCTGTTCCAACCAGCCAGGGCAAAAAAGGCCACAAGTCGTCCTCTCAAAGGAAGAAGCTGGGCCTGGTAGTTTGTACCTATCATCCCAGCTCTGACACGTTGTATTAAACGTGGTTGGAGGCATGGCTTAGGGGTAGAACAACTTGCCTGGCAAGCATGAGATCCTGAGTTGAAATCCTAGCACTGTTTCGTTGTTTTCACATTGCAGTGACTGGTGTATTCCTAGCTAGTATGGAGGCAGAAACCATAACGATTGCCATTTGAGGCCAATCCAGGCCCACAAAAAACCTCTGATATTAATCCATAAACTAGTCTTGATATGGTACACACCTGTGATACCAGCAGAGCCACAACTAACTAGGAAGTACCCGATTCTAAACAACAGCACCAACTTTTTGGTGCTAGCCCTTGAACTCTGGACCTGGGCACTATCCCTAAGCTCCTTTTGCTCAGGGCTAGGGCTTGTACTCTACCACTTGAGCTACGGTACCACCTCTGGCTTTTTCTGTGATAAGAGTCTCACAGACTTTCTTGCCCAGGGTGGCTTCTAGCCGTGATCCTCAGATCTCAGCCTCCTGAGTGGCTAGGATTTCATGCATGAGCCACCAGCGCCTAACTTTTTTTTTGTGTGTGTCGGTAGTGGGGCTTAAACTCTGGGCCTGAGCACTGTCCCTGTGCTCTTCAGCTCAAGGCGAGCACTCTACGGTTTGAGCTACTGCGCCATTTCCATTTTCTAGTGGTTTATTGGAGATAAGAGTCTCACGGATGTTCCTGCCCAGGTGTTCCTGCCTGGGCTGGCTTTGAACCGTGATCCTCAGATCTCAGCCTCCTGAATAGCTAGGGTTACAGGCGTGAGCCACCGGCGCCCAGCTGTCTTAACTCTTTGTGTTTTTGTTGTTGTTGTTGTTGGTTATGGGGCTTGAACTTTGGGCCTGGGTGCGGTCCTTGAGCTCTTCAGCTCAAGACTACGCTCTACCACTTGAGCCACAGCACCGCTTCTGGTTTATTGGAGAGTCTCGTGGACTTTCCTTGCCCGGGCTGGCTTTGAACCGAGATTCTTAGATCCATAGATCTCAGCCTCCTGAGTAGCTAGGATTACAGACGTGAGCCACCCAGCGCATGCCTCGCTCTTAAGTAGATTGTAGGTCAGGTTTTTGTCGTGGGGAGTGTTTTTGTTGTTTTGTTTTGGCACCGAGGTTTGAGGTCCAGACCTCAGGGTTGCTTAGCTCATGCTTACTGTACTTGAGCCATCAATAACCTGCTGCTAGTGTAAGTTGTCATTCAGTTTTTTGTTCTGCCCATTTACGGCTTCCCAAGCATCCAACTGGGATGTGATTGCAGTTTATTTCCTAGTTGGGGATACAGGTGTGGGGAGGGGCGCTCCTTTCCCCCTCTTCACATCAGCCTGCGAGTGCCATAATGCAATGTGGTGGGGTTTATTGTTTTTTTGTTTTTGTTCATCATGGGGCTTGAACTCTGGGCCTGGGCACTGTCCCTCAGCTCTTCAGCTCAAGGCAAGCGCTCTACCACTTGAGCCACAGCGCCACTTTTTTTTCTGGTGGTTTATTGATGATAAGAGTTTCATGGAGTTTCCTGCCCAGGCTGGCTTTGAATGCAATCCTCATATCTCAGCCTTCTTAGTAGCTAGGATTACAGGCATGAGCCACTAGCACCCTGCTCAGTGTGCTTTATTGTCCCTCATAGATTTCCGAATCTGAAGTCTGTGCGAGAACTCATCCTGAAACGTGGACAGGCAAAGGTTCAGAATAAGATCATCCCTCTGACAGACAATACCATGATTGAGGAGCACCTGGGTAAGTCCTGCAGCTGCAGGGTGGGCAGAAAGCAAGGGTCTGAGGTTGCCGTGGTGTGGAATCCAGGGTGTGTTCTTAGGATTCCGAGAACATGCCAAACTTAACTCTAGCATATGAGTACACACTGTTTCAGTACACACTGGACAAGTAGTGAATCTGTGCCCTTATCTCTTAGGGAAATTTGATGTCATTTGCCTGGAAGACCTCATTCATGAAATCGCCTTCCCAGGGAAGTATTTCCAGCAGATCTCCAGGTTTTTGTGCCCTTTCCAACTCTCTGTTGCCCGTCACGCTACCAAAAACAGAATGGGCTTCCTCAAGGAGATGGGCTCACCTGGCTATCGGGGTGAAAGTATCAATCAGCTCATCCGCCAGCTGAACTAGACTCAGGTGAGCTGGGGCTGGAAACCTTTATGGCCTGGCTTTCCACGGGCCATCCTTGTTACTTCAAAGTGTTTTTGCAGGTTTGGGTTATAGTCAGTGGTTAATGACTTGATAAGGATATCAGGGTCGTGGTTCAATCGCCTAGTAAAAAAAATTGGGGAAGGAGGAGGAGGTCAGTGTTTACAAGTCAAATAAATAGAAACCTTGTAAGGGACAGCTTAATTCAGATTTGGAGCTGTGAATATCTTGAGTTAGAGGCTAGAAAATTTAGCTAGAAATGGCGTTTCTGAAAGAATTGGAGTCATTTTTATTGAGCAGTTTTTATTTTTGTGCCAGTTTGGGGGCTTCAGCTCCAGGCCTGTGCACTGTCCCTGGGCTCTTTCGTTGAAGGCTAACTTTACCACTTGAGCCACAGCTCCATTTCCAGGTTTTTGTGACCTCAGATCTCAGCCTCCTGAGTAGCTAGGATTGATTACAGGTGTGTGCCTCAGCACTTGGCTAAGAATTTTGATTTTATGAAATGTTTTTGTGGTTTTTTTCTGGTCCTTGAACTCTGGGCCTGGGTATTGCCCCTGAGCTTCTTGAAGCTCAAGGTTAGTGCTCTACCACTTGAGCCACAGCACCACTAACAGCTTTTTCTGAGTAGGTCATTGGAGATAAGAGTCTCACGGACTTTCCTGTACAGGCTGGCTTCAAACAGCCTGTCTTAGCCTCCTCAGAGGCTAGGATTGCAGGTGTGAGCCATTGGCACCTCACTAAAATTGCTTTTTCTAGCCGGGCGCTGGTGGCTCACGCCTGTAATCCTAGCTACTCAGGAGGCTGAGATCTGAGGATCGCGGTTCAAAGCCAGCCCGGGCAGGAGAGACCATGAGACTCCTATCTCCAATAAACCACCAGAAAACCGGAAGTGGCGCTGTAGCTCAAGTGGTAGAGCGTTCGCCTTGAGCTGAAGAGCTGAGGGACAGCGCCCAGGCCCAGAGTTCAAGCCCCATGACCAACCAAAAAAAATAAAATTGCTTTTTCTTGCTGTTATACTAGATGCCAAATTGTGGTGGATTTGAACTGTTATATCTTCAGAGATTGTTTCCTACCTACAGAAGTTGGAAAGTAAGGGGAAAGATGGCAGACCAGTCCTGAGGAGGAGTTCCATCCTTTTCCACATTGGCAGCTATCTCCAATCAACACATAGCCCAGAGGAAGAAGTTGTCCTGACTTTGTTGTATCTTCTGTATGGGTTTAATGTTGTGAATGAAGAACCTAAGCATATGTACAAGATTGGCACCATTAGACCAAGCTTCTGGGTATACTTGAGTCTGGGAGTTCTAAGGGCTTGGGTTTTTTTTTTTGCTGGTTGTGGGGCCTGAACTCTGGGCCTGGGCACTGTCCCTCAGCTCTTCAGCTCAAGGTTAGCGCCCTACCACTTGAGCCACAGCACCACTTCTGGCTTTTTCTGCTTATGTGGTGCTGAGGAATCGAACCCAGGGCCTCATGCATGGGAAGCAAGCATTCTACCACTGAGCCACCTTCCCAGCCCCATAAGGCCTTGTTTTGAAAAGACTTAAAAACAAGTGCTATTTCTTAAAGCTCATCATTGATTCTTGATTGTTTTTTGGTTTGGTCACTTGTGGGGCTTGAACTGTGGGCCAGGGAGCTGTCCTTGACCTCTTCACTCAAGGCAAGCACTCTACCACTTGAGCTACAACACCACTTTCAATGTCTCATGGCTTTTCCTGCCCAGGCTGGCTTTGAACCGTGATCCTCAGATCTCAGCCTTCTGAGTAGCTAGGATTACAGGCGTGAGCCACCGGCGCCCTGCTGATTCTTGGTTGTTAAGCCCTGTTGATGGCAAGGATTCCTGAGACTCAAGTGTTGAGGTTTGGAAGTCTCAATAAAGGCAGCAGTCATTGAGAGCTCCACCTACAGTCCCTAGATTTATCTTCTACCCAAAGTATTCCAAGGCCCAAAGTGAGCACCTCATACTTGGTGTGAAGAGGGCAGTTGGCCATCAGTGGCATCCGTTCCAGCATTTTGGGGTAAGACATGATAAATTAGGCAAAAGCAAACCAAATAACATTGCCTCATGACCCTGTACACTGATGTAATTACATTTGCCCCCCATCTAACAGTGCCCACCTCTAATGGGTGGACCTCAGCTCCAGTACCATCTAAGCACTTGATAAACATGTGCCAAACCCAAATTAAAGTGAAAAATACTTAACTGCTATTTTCTTTTTCTTTTTCTTTTTTTGGGTCCGGTCGTGGGGCCTGAACTCTGGGCCTGGGCACTGTCCCTCAGCTCTTCAGCTCAAGGCTAGCGCCCTACCACTTGAGCCACAGCGCCACTTCCGGCTTTTTTCTTTTTGCTTATGTGGTGCTGAGGAATCGAACTCAGGGCCTCAGGCACGCAAGGCAAGCGCTCTACCACTGAGCCACCTTCCCAGCCCCTTAACTGTTATTTTCTTGGATCATTTTAGATCCACTTTGCTGAAATTTTGGTTCATAGTATCCTCAAAAACAGAGGTGAAACTGGGTTAGAGGTATAACAGTGCCTTTAAAATGTTCGAGTAATGAGGTAATTTGTTAGGCTGCTTTGATTTGAATTAACTTGCCAGGAACACGTGTTATTGATACTATGCAGCATTGGGTAATCAGATTACTTAGCAATGATGCGTTGGAAAGTCGTAAGTGTATGGTAGGCCTGGGATTTATATCAGGTCAGTCTTAAGCGCTAGGGTTGGGGCTGTGCTCGGTGGTAGTGGGCTTACCTAATATGTGAAGCCCTGGATTCAATTCCCAAGACCCCCACTTTCCATTCTTGCTCTGTAAAGTGGAACTGATTTTCTAGTCTGCTTTACATGGTGTTTAAAACAAGATGTTTTAAATGTATATAAATAAAATATTTAAAATGTGTGCTTCTCTGCACTCCCTAGAGGGGTGCTAAACTAGTTACACAGTACACCGTGTGGACTGAACACACGAGGTGTGATCTGCATTTGTGGATAAAACAGGTGTAGGAAGAACTGACTTGAGAATGTAGCTATGGGGGCATTTTTCTGAAAGCTCTACTATCTTATAGGTTGGAAAAACTTTCTAGTTTCATTACTTGTTGACATTTTGGTGGTGCTGTGGTTTGAACTTTTTGCTTGCTAGTCAGGGACTCATACCATACCAGCGCTTAAACACAGGAATAGTCAGTGTTGGTGCTCTTGCACTTCAGCCATGCCTCCAGTTAATTGGAGATGTGAGTCTCGGCCTTCTGAGTAGGTAGAATTAGAGGCATTAGCCACAGGCACCTGGGTGTTTGGGTTTTTTTGGTGGGTCATGGGGCTTGAACTCGGCCTGGGGGCTGTCCCTGAAGTTCAAGGGGAGTGCTCTACCACTTGAGCCACAGCACCACTTCCCGGTTTTTCTGGAGGTTAACTGAAGAGTCTCAGGGGCTTTCCTTGAGCCACGATCCTCAGATCTCAGCCTCCTGAGTAGCTGGGATTACAGGCGTGAACCACTGGCACCCGGCCAGGGTTTTTGTTTCCTGGTTGTAGACTACTCAGGCCTGGGTGCTGTCCCTGAGCCCTTTTGCCTCAGATCTCAGCCTCCTGAGTAGCTAGGATGACAGGACTACTATTTGTATCCCAAGCTCAGTTTAACTGTCAGAAAAAGGTAACGAAGGGGAGAAGTACTGCTGTTCTGAGCCCGGGGCTCAGAACCGGCTAGTGCGGTACAGAAATGAAAACACGCGTCGCAGATCGTAAAGCAGAATACGGCTTTTAACTGGAGGGTCAGGAGCAGGAGTGCGGAGCGGTCGGGATGAGGCTTTACATTCAACGGACAAAGGCCGACACTCGGGGTCCTCCACCGTCCTCGGGGCCGCGCGGCGCCCCCCGCCGCGGGTCTGCCGGGGCCGCGGCCTCCCCGCGCTTGGGTCTCCGCGGGAGCCGGGACGCCGTGGGCTCGCCTTGGGTCGCCGTGATGTTTCGTTTTTCCAGACCCGGTAGCTCCTGGCCCTGCTGGAGCAGCTGCGTGAGCTGCGCCAGGGTCGCCGGGGCCGGGACCGGGGCCGGCTCTACCGGCGCGGACGACGCAGCGGAGCCGCCCCGCACTCCGGGCCGCGAAGGCTGCTGGGAAAGCACTTCCGGCGTGTGGGCGCAACCACCGTCGGAGGAAGCGTGGGGGAGGTCGCGGGCCGTACCGAGCGTTGGCATCAGCGGGGTGACACGAGGAAAGTCATTGCCAACCATCGCTTAAAAATGATCCTGCGAGCCGGCGCCGGCGGCTCCGCCTGCCATCCACCTGTCAGGAGGCTGAGCATCGCAGCTGGCGGGAAAGTCCGTCAGACTCATCTCTATTAACCCACCGGAAAACCAGAAGTGGCTGTGGCTCCCGCGGTAGAGCGCTAGCCTTGAGCTGAGGAGCTGAGGGACAGCGCCCAGGCCCAGAGTTCAGGCCCCGCGACCACCCCCCCCCCAAAAAAAATAAATAAGTAAATAAAAAGATTGCATAGGGGCCATACTAATCCCTGCGTCCTTCTGCGGGAGGACACTAGGGAAAATGATGCTATGATGCTATTACAGCAACGTTAAACCTCAGGTGAGATCCTTGGGGGGGGAGGGGGTATGTGGGCGAATGGCCTTGTTATGAGAGAATTAGGAAGAATTTAAGGTGAGGTGTCATGAGAGAGATGGAAAAATTGGGGCCAGTTTTTTTCTCTGATCCCTGCCTCAAATTTCCTATCTGCTTAATGACTCCCTGCCTAACAGGTGTGCCCACTGATTAACCAGGATAGTAAACCAGGCTCAGGAAGGCAGTTATTAAACTCTCCTTGGTGCGCCCTCCACCCTCACACGCCTTCTTGCCCCCTGGCTTTGGGGTTTGGCTAATGAGTGGAGAGGGCAGCGAGGGAAAGAGGAAACATGTATCGAGTATTCCTGCTGGAAGGGCTGGGAAGGTGGCTCAGTGGTAGAGCGCTTGCCTTGCATGCCTGAGGCCCTGGGTTCGATTCCTCAGCACCATATAAGCAAAAAAGAAAACCGGAAGTGGCTCTGTGGCTCAAGTGGTAGAGTGCTCACCTTGAGCTGAAGAGCTGAGGGACAGCGCCCAGGCCCAGACAGGCCCCATGACCGGACCCCCCCCCACCAAAAAAAAAAAACAAAAAAACAATAATATTCCAGGTATACTAACAGTAACTATGTACACCTGGCCAAGAATTTGCTCTAGTGTTTAATATGAATGCTGAATATTCAATGTCAATACTAATGCAAGATTTGGTAGAATTTCAAAAGTGGCCTGGAAAGGTGGCTCAGTGGTAGAGTGCGTACCTCACATGCATGAGGCCCTGGGTTCGATTCCTCAACACCACATAACCGGAAGTGGTGCTGTGGCTCAAGTGGTAGAGCACTAGCCTACAGCTGAAGAGCTGAGGGACAGCGCCCAGGCCCAGAGTTCAGGCCCCACGATTGACAAAAAAGGAATTTCAAAAGTGCTTGTAAGAAAGAATAATCATTGAAAGAATTAAAAAATTTTTTAACTTAGTAATTATCTAGGAAACCAGAACTTCATTTTTATTTTTTTGCTAGTCCTGAGGCTTGAACTCTGGGTCTGGGTGTGGGTGCTGTCCCTGGGTTCCTTTTGCTCACCGCTAGCACTCTACCATTGAGTCTCATTACTTCCGGCTTTCTTGAGTAGTTTATTGGAGACAAGAGTTTCAGGGACTTTCCTGTCCAGTCTGGCTTCCAATTGCCACCCTCAGATCTCAGCCTCCTGAGTAGCTAGATTATAGGAGTGAGCCACCAGCACCCACCTTTCTCTCTTCTTTTTTTTGATCAGTTAGGGCCTGGGCGCTGTCCCTGAGCTCTTTTGTTCGAAGCTAGCACTCTACTTGAGCTACAGCTCCTCTTCCAGTTTTCTGGTGGTTAATTGGACATAAGAATCTCAGGGACTTTTCCTGCCCGGGCTAGCTTTGAACCATAATCCTCCAGATCTCAGCCTCCTGAGTAGGTAGGACTACAAACATGAGCCACCAGCGCCCAGCTTCTTTTGGCTTGCTTGCTTGCTTGCTTGCTTTTCTTTTCTTTAGGTCCAAGACCAGACTTGAACTTGGTACCTGATTCTTTTGCACATCTTCAACTCCCACAGTCCTCTTATGTGGGCTTCTCACTGTGGCTGGGGTGACAGGTACTCACCAATGAACCTAGTTGACATGGAGGCTTGTGACATCTTTTTGCCCTGGCTGGCCTCAAACCACAATCCCCCGATCGCTTTTCCTCAAGTAGTTACAGGCTTGAGGCTCTGCACCCAGCCAAGGCTGAGAACTTTGAAATCCCAAGTCCTGGTGTCTATGGAGGTAACCTCTTTCCTTTCACTCCCATTCCCAGGACATCAATCCCAGAACCCTCTCTGTCCTGTCCCTCCTTGGTCCCTGAGCCTTCTTGAGTTGGATCTCAGCAGAGTCTGATAAAGAAGCACGAGTGTGTAGTGACATAGGTTGGGCCTTGCTGGTCCGCCTTGGCAGGTACTGGTAGACAAGCATGGGAGTGAGTGCTAGGGAATGTAAGGTTCATTTGAGCCAAACTCATTACCATGAATGCTCATCCAAGATTTAGGATTTAACATGTTGGCTCAGTCACCTGGGAAGGGCATTCGTAGTCTGCTAGGTTGGTTAATTAAAGTCTGGAATTAATGGTAGCCTACAGTTAATAAGCTTGAAATGCCAGAACTTTCCTGGCATCCTATAGAAGAAATCAGAATTCTCCAGGAGATGAGAATGCTGGATTGGGTTTATAATATGCAACCTTCCTGGCCACATATTTTTTTTAAAAAATTTTTGGGGCGGTCCAGAAAACACACTCATTAAGTGTTGACTAAGGTGTTAAGAAATATGTTGAGCTGGGTGCCAGTGGCCAACACCTAGAATCCTAGCTCCTCAAGAGGCTGAGATCTGAGGATCTTGGTTTGAAGCCAACTTTGGCAGGAAAGTTGGAGAGATTCTTATCTCCAAGTAACCACCAAAAAAAGCTGGAAATGGAAGTGAGGCTCCAGTGGTAAAGCACTAGCCTTGAGCAAAAAAGCTCAGGGAGAGCACCCAGGCCCTGAGTTCAAGCTCCAGGACTGGCACAAAAAGAAAAAGAAGAAATATGTTGGTATGGGCCTTCCCTTACTGTGATGTCTAGAGTAGAACTTGCTGGTTACTGGCTGGCTAGATGGATGGATGAATCAGCTAGCTTACTTGATCTTAGTGAAAACCATGGCATCTTCCTAGTGCCTGATGGTACAGAGATCAAATGATTCTTCCCAGCCAAATGTAAGGCCAGACACCCATGGCTCACACCTGGGATAATCGTCAGCCCTGTAAAATAAATTAATTAATCGTAATAAGTTTCATAGGGACAGGGGCATGGCTTGCCTAGCAAGCTCAAGCCTTGAATTCAAACCCCAGTTTTTAACCCCCCTCTCTCTTTCTCTCTCTCTTTCAGCAGATCAGTTGTAAGGCTTGGACACTGTCCCTAAGCCTCTTTGTGTTCAAGGCTAGCACTCTATCACTTGAGCCACAGCAACACTTCCAGTTTATGAATGGTTAATTGGAGATAAGAGTCTCATGGGGATTTTTCTGCCCAGGCTGGCTTTGGACCATGATCCTCAGATTTCATCCTCGTGAGTAGTTAGTGTTACAGGCGTGAGCCACCAGTGCCCAGCTTTCTATACATCTTTAGCAATGTAACTGGGTCTTATTTTTTTCCTTGCCCTTTCTAAGACTTGAACTCAGGACCTCTCTTGGGAGACCTGCTTGCTAAAGGCTGCTGCTCTAGCATTTAAGCCATACTTCTAGTCTGGAATTTTACTGGTTCTGTGGAGACCATCTCACAGATTTTTCTGCCAGGGCTGGCTTTGAACCTCAGTCTTCCAGCTCTCAGCCTCCTGAATAGCTAGGATTCATAGGTGTGAGCTACCAGCATTTGGCTGTCATTTATTGTTGTTTTCTGAGAGGGGGCATTCCTCAGCTGAACAACAGATGATATTAATCCTCTACTAGGGTTAAATGAGATGTTGAGACAGGGGTCAGGACACCCTCCCCTGTCTTGGGCAAACAGAAAGACTGTGGGGTCAGAGGAGACCCTGGGGCTCCTGGACAATGGGAACTATCAGTGATGTGCAGAGCAGCCGGGGAGGGAAGCTCCCAGGCAGTGGGCATTGGTGGGACCCCTGAACCCAGGCAGGAGCTAAGAGTGGCATGGGGGAGGGTGGACAGGGCAGAGGGAGGCAGCCATGAGCATGGTGGCTGGCACTGGGCATGCTGGTGGCTGGGAAAGTCCTGATGCCTTTCTCCATCGACACTGAGGCAGCAGAACCTGGCCAGCACCCACCCCCACCCCCCTCCAGGCTGCAGAGTCGTTAGGGACACCTGGCTCCCCTCCTCCTCCTCTCCATCCTCCCTCCCCTCCCCCTCCCAGTGGGAACCACCACCACCCGCACCTGGGCTGGGCTGGCGCTGCCTGGGAACGTGTGGAGCCCGAGGCCTGGGGTGGGGAGGGCGCACCGAGGGGGAGGGGGGTTGCAGCCAGCCCCAGGGTCTGCCTGGACCCCAGGATAGGACACTCAGCATGGTTATTAAAACAATCATCCCCACGCAACCAGGGTGAGCCTGGCACTAGAATAAAGAGACTGAGGAGCCAGAAAGAGCTGAATGCGTCTATAGAAAAGACGTTCATGTGGAAGGAAGAAAGGTTTGAAAGTCATGGAGCCAAGAATGCTTATTTAGCAAGTAATCCTGGGGAAATTGATTAGCTCTTTGGGGGAAATTGTGTGTGTGTGTGGGTGTGCCTACTACCAGGTACCAGAATTAATTTTGGTTTCACATAGAGATGGGTAAGATGAAGCCAAACTGGACAGAATGATCAGAGACAAGGTTCTGTCCATTTTCTAGATCCAAGTCTTGCTAGGCGAAGGGATGAGCAGGGCTGGTAGAAAGGCCCTCAGCTCCAAAGAGGGCTGGGGGTGATGAGAAGATACCGAAATGAATTGTCACTTTGATTCATACAACACAACCCAGCCAGCCTAGCGCTGGTGACTCATGCCTGTAAGCCTAGCTACTCAGGAGGCTGAGTAGCCTGGCAGGAAAGTCCGGGAGACTCTTATCTCCAATAAACCACTAGAAAACTGGAAGTGGCGCTGTGGTTCAAATGGTAGAGGACTCTCCTTGAACTGAAGAGCTAAGGGACAGCGCCCAGGTTCAAGCCCCACAACCGACCAAAAAAAAAAAAAAAAAAAAGAGGAAGAAAGGAAAGAAAAAGCAGTAAATGTGGATAAATCAAGACCCTTGTAGGGCTGGGAGTTCAGTAACATTTTTATCCAGATTTGTGTGCCAGGGTTCAGCTGCAGCTCTGTGCCACATGCCCAAGGCCTGGGTGCGCCCCAAAATGGGAGGACCGTGTCTTGACTTTGACAGTGCACTCGCCTGGAGCTGGGAGGGCTAGGTGCTGAACTTTTCACTCTAGAAGGAACTGCGCTAATGCCTCTCAGGAACTCCTGGCATAGACATCAAAGGTTCCCACCATCTCCATTACAGCGAGGAAATGGAGGGTTAGGGAAGTCATTTGCTGAAAGTAACTAGTAAATGATCTTGTCAAGATTGAAATCCAGGTGTCCTGGCTCACAGCCCATGCTCTGAACTAAATTACATCTACAGTCCATGTCACTGAACATTCTGTGAAAGGTGCTATGTAAAATCTACTAATGTAAATATGTAATACACAATCTTCACTCTATCCTTTACCTCCTGTTGACAATGAAGTCATTTCCTTTGCCCTGCTTCTAAAGTTACACTCACACATGCACATAGTCACACATATACACACACAAACACACAAACACACACTTTTCTGTAATGCTGGGCATCAACTCAGGGCCTCATGCATTCAAAGCATGCATGCTATCACTTCTAACTGGAGGATCACAGTTCGAAGCCAGCCCAAGCAAAAAAGGTATGTGAGGCTTTTTTTTTTGGCTGGTCCTGAGGCTTGAACTTAGGGACTGAGCACTGTCTCTAAGCCCCTATGTGCTCAAGGCTAGTGCTCTACCACTAGAGCCACAGATCCACTTCCCCAGCTCTTTCTGTATAGTTTATTAGAGATAAGAGTCTAATAGAGCCGGGTGCTAGTGGTTCACACCTGTAATCCTAGCTACTCAGGAGGCTGAGATCTGAGGATCACAATTCAAAGCCAGCCCAGGCAGGAAAGTCCTCTTATCTCCAATGAACCACCAGAAAATCAGAAGTGGCGCTGTGGCTCAACTGGTAGAGCACTCACCTTGAGCTGAATGGCTGAGGGATAGCACCCAGGCCCAGAGTTCATGCCTCAAGACCAACAATAACAACAAAAAAAGGGTCTCACAGACTTTCCTGCCCATAGTCCTCAGCTTCAGCCTCCTGAGTAGCTAGGATTATAGGCAAGAGCCACCAGCACCTGATTTGTGAGATTCTTAACTCTAATTAACTAGCAAAATGCTGGAACTGGAGTTGTGGCTTAAGTGACAGAGCACCAGCTTTGTGTAAAAAGGCTAAGAGAGGGCTAGGAAGGTGGGTCAGAGGTAGAGTGTTTGCCTTGCATGCATGAGGTCCTGGGTTCCATTCCTTAGCACCACATAAGCAAAAAAAGCCAGAAGTGGTGCTATGGCTTAAGTGGTAGAGCACTAGTCTTGAGCTGAAGGACAGTGCCCAGGCCTCTGACTGACCAAAAAAAAAAAAAAGCTAAGGGAGATTGCCCTATCCCTGAGTTCAAGCCCCAGTACTCACACACACACACACATACCATTTCCTGGATGTGTTTTTGCCTATGAGGCCAGCCATCTGGAAACAACTCAAACATAGCTCTGCCACCTGCCAGTTGTGTGTCCTTGGGCAGCTCACTCAGTCTCTCTGAGCCTTGGTTACTTCCCGTGAACAGGAATGCCAGTGGCTGGGGATCCCACTGTGGCTGAGGAGCCCTGGCAGCCAGGGTGGCTCTGGGCCTGGGGGTGGCAGTTGCCCTCTAGTTGGAGCCATGAGCCAGAATGGGGGGGGGGGAGATACTGGCCCCTGGGGTGGGAGTGACACCTGGGTTTCCTGGCCCCTGAGACAGACAGGATCGGCCTTGTGGAGAAACGGCTGAGGCGCAGCTGGGCCTGGGGCCTGGGAGGCGACGTGGCGGGTACCTCTTCTCCAAGCCCACACCTCACAGCTGGGTCCTGCCTTGCGCCACTGGGTCATGGCTCGGCCATGGCTGCTGCTTCTCCTGCCCCTCCGCTGTCCAGCCCTGCCCACAGGTGAGCCTCCTCCTCTGCCCCCCAGGGCCTCCCTAAGTGTGGATGGAATGGGGGGAATACAGGAAGGGACAAGAGCCTTCTAGGGGTCTGGGAGGGTCTCATCAGGCGCTGCCTTCTGCCTCCCAGCAGCCACCTGCCTCTGGGCCCCAAGTCCTGCCCTGGACCTTGAGGAGGTATAAAGAAATCAGAGCCCACTGGACGCCTCCCCCCGCTCCCCCCAGAAGCTGGAGATTGGAGAGGGCAGGATGAAGTTGTGTGGTTAGGTGAAGAGGAAGGATCCTGGAGGCTTCGTGGCGGAGGTGGAAGTTGAACTCAGTTTACTCAGGTCTTGGGCTCTGTCCCTGAGCTTTTCTGCTCAAGGCTAGCACACTACCACTTGAGCCACAGCACCACTTCTGGCTATTTCATAGTTTATTAGAGACAAGAGTTTCAGGTTAGGAAGGTGGCTCAGTTGGTAGAGTGTTTGCCTAGCATGCATGAAGCCTTGGGTTCAATTCCTCAGTACCCTATAAATGGAAAAAAGCTAGAAGTGGCACTGTGGTTCAAGTGCTATAGTGCTAGCCTTGAGCACAGAGAGGTTCAAGTCCTGAGTTCAAGCCCCAGGACTGGCAAAAAAAAAAAAAAAAAAAAATGTTTCACAGGCTTTCCTGCCTGGCCTGGCTTCAAATTGCAATCCTCAGATCTCTGCCTTCTAAGTAGCTAGGATTATAGGCATGAGTCGCCAAGCCCAGAAAATATTTCACCAGATTTCAACCAGATTTTTTTTTCAAAGAAACAAAAAGTCACAGGTATATTTGAAGTCCTCTTTGATCTCATTCCAGATCCTGTTTCCTTCCCTTCCTCCCCAGAGATAACCAGTCTCCTTGGGCAATGACAACCTAGTATTATATATTTGTTTATGTTTCTGCTATCTTTCCCATGGGACTGAGTTCCTTGGGGGCAGAGACAATGATTTACTCTGTGTTGTGTCCCTACTGCCTACCACAGAAAGTTGCTTAGGTATGATAAATGGGCAAACAGAATGACGGATGAACGGATGAACGGATGCGTGGATGCATGAATGCGTGGACGGACAGACATAGCTGGAAGGCAGAACAGATGGAGCCTGGGTACTGGTGACACACGCCTGTAATCCTAGCTACTCAGGAAGCTAACATTTGAAGATTCATGGTTTGAATCCAGCCAGGGCAGGAATGTCTGTTTGACTCTATCTCTAACCAGCAAAAAGCCAGAAGTGGAGAGCTGTGGCTTAAGTGGTAGAGCACTTTGAGTGGGAAAACTAAGGGATAGCAGAGTTCAAGACTCAAGGCTGGCACCAAAAAAAAAAAAGGTGTAGCCGGGCGCTGGTGGCTCACGCCTGTAATCCTAGCTACTGGGGAGGCTGAGATCTGAGGATCGCGGTTCAAAGCCAGCCCAGGCAGGAGAGACCGTGAGACTCTTATCTCCAATAAACCACCAGAAAACCGGAAGTGGCGCTGTAGCTCAAGTGGTAGAGCGCTGGCCTTGAGCTGAAGAGCTGAGGGACAGCGCCCAGGCCCAGAGTTCAAGCCCCACGACCAACAAAAAAAAGAAAAAAAAAAAAAGGTGTGGTGAAAGATAGGTGTGTTGATGGGGGGCAGAGAGTGGAAGGTGAGATGGCCTAGGGGGGCACAGGCTGACCTCCCCCCCATGTGACCCTCTCCCACAGGTCTGGGTGTCACCCCCTTCCCCTCTCTGGCCCCGCCCATCGCGCTGCAGGTGAATGGAGAGCAGCGGACTCTGGTGATCTGCCTGGTCCTGGATGCTGCACCCGCTGGCCTGGACAGTGCCGTCTGGTTCTCAGCTGGCAATGGCAGTGTGCTGGACGCCTTTACCTATGGCCCCTCCCCGGCTGCAGATGGCACCTGGAGCAGCCTGGCCCAGCTCTCCGTGTCCTCTGAGAAGCTGGCAGCCTGGGAGCCCTTGGTCTGCCACACCAGGCCTGCGCCTGGGGGCCAGAGCCTGCGAACACAGCCCCTGAAGCTGTCAGGTGAGGATGGAGCCACTGTTCCCCTTCCACACCCCAGAACCCAGATATGCTGGGAGGGAAGGCAGGCTCTTGACCACGGAGGCATGAAGAGTGGTCAAGGGAGGCTAGCCTGGCGGCATGACGCCTGGGCTCAGGGCATGTGGGCTTGGGGGTATGAACTTGGGGATTTGCAACTGTGCTATCAAGTTCAAATCCACACTGGAGCCAGACACTGCTGTTTCACATCTGTAAATCCTAGCTACTCAGGAGGCTGAGATCTGAGAGTCGCCCATCTGAACTGATGAATCTTAAAGATGCTTACCTACAATTAACCAGCAAAAAGGCAGAAGTGGCTGGGAAGGGGCTCAGTAGTAGAGCGCTTGCCTTGCATGCTTGAGGCCCTGGGTTCCATTCCTTAGCACCATATAAGCACAAAAAGCTGGAAGTGATGCTGTGGCTCAAGTGGTAGATTGCTAGACTTGAGCTGAAGAGCTCAGGGACAGCGCCCAGGCCCAGAGTTCGGGCCCCATGACTGGCAAAAAAAGGCAGAGGTGGAGGTGTGGCTCAAGAGGTAGAGCACCAAGCTGGGCGCTGGTGGCTCACGCCTGTAATCCTAGCTACTCAGGAGGCTGAGATCTCAGGATCGCAGTTCAAAGCCAGCCTTGGCAGGAAAGTCTGTGAGACTCATTTCCAATTAACCATCAGAAAACCATAAGTGGCACTGTAGCTTAAGTGGTAGAGGGCTCTCCTTGAGCTGAAGAGCTCAGGGACAGCACCCAGGCCCAGAGTTCAAGCCCCACAACCAACAAAAAAATAAAAATAAGGAGGTAGAACACCAGCCCTTGAGAAAAAAGTCAGACAAGAATGCAAGGCTTTGAGTTCAAGTACCAGAGTGCCAGTGGCTCACGCCTGTAATCCTAGCTACTCAGGAGGCTGAGATCTGAGGATCACAGTTCAAAGCCAGCCCAGGCAGGAAAGTCCATGAGACTCTTATCAACAATAAACTACTCAGAAAACTGGAAGTAACTCAAGTGGTAAAGCGCTAGGCTTGAGCTGAAGAACTGAGGGATAGTGTTCAGGCCCAGAGTTCAAGCCGCATGACTGACAAAAAAAAAAAAAAAAGGAAAGAGAGAAAGAGAGAAGGGGGGAGAGAGAGAGAGAGAGAGAGAATCTAGGTTCTACTGCATGACTTCCAGAGATGATAATACTTTCTCCCTCCCAGGGTTGGTTATTTACATTTTTTTATTTTTGACAGTTGTGAGGCTTGGACTCTGGGCCTGGGCACTGTCCTTCATCTCTTCAGTTCAAGGCTAGCGTTCTACCACTTGAGCCTCAGTGCCACTTCTGGCTTTTTCTGCTTATGTGGTGCTGAGGAATTGAACCCAGGGCCTCATGCATGCAGGCAAGCACTCTACCACTGAGCCACCTTTCCAGCCCTTTTATTTGTTTGTTTGTTTTTTTGTCGGTAGTGGGTCTTGAACTCAGGGCCTGGGCGATGTCCCTTAGCTCTTCAGCTCAAGGCTAGCGCTCTACCACTTGAGCCACAGTGCTTCTTCCAGCTTTGTCTGCTTATGTGGTGCTGAGGAATCCAGGACCTCATGCATGCAAGGCAAGCACTCTACCACTGAGCCGCCTTCCCAGCTCCTACATTATGTTTCTGTAGCTTTAAATCCATATACAATGTATCCATATAATTTATACATAAACACATCCTGCAAGGGCTCAACAAGATCTAAATAGACCCCTATTGTTACTGGGCTCCAGGCACTAAAACTTTACATTTATGAAGTAGCCACCTGGCAGGCAACGGGAGGCTAAGTAACGTGGCCACACTCGCGTCCTTGTCCTCAGTTTTGTGCCCTCCCAAGGGGGAGTATAATTGAGCAGTCACCCTGCCTTCCAAGGAAAGCTGTCAGAGAATTGGTTTCTGCATGTCAGGGCCAACTGAGGCACCTTGGCTCCCTGAGCACAGCTCAGGAGTGGAGAAGGGAGTGGACTGTACCCTCGGGACTGGCAGCAAACGGGCTCAGGGGTTCCTCTGCTGGCCCGTGTCTGTCCACCCTGAGAGTTGCCCCTTGTCAGGTTGTAGATAGACTGGGGAAGGGGGTAGCACCTGACCCTGCACCCCCGGGGTGCACACCAATCCTCACGAACTCACACCTTCTCCTTGGCTGGCAGGAGCAGCTTCCCCAGCCAGGTCCTGCGTCTACAACACTCTCAGGGGTGAGTATGTGGAGCATGCTGGGAAAAAGAGGCTGGGGATCAGGTCCTGGACCTGCAGGGTGGGGCATTTAAGCTCCGCTCTTCTGAGTCCCACCAGGGCAGGGTTTGGGGGGAGGGGGAGGTGCTAGTGGTGAGGAGAGGCTGCCTTGCTAGGTTGGGTGCTGACTAGCCCGAACCTCAGTCTACCATGGGATAAGATGAGGGCGGATCCTTTGATCCCAGTGTAATTCTGGACATCAGTTGAGAAGCACAGGTGGGAGCCCGAGGAAGGATGAGGATGTCCCCCGGGGCAGGTCAGGTGAGCCAGGCCTGTGGAAAAGGGAGTCTGGGGTGCTGGAAAGAGCCTTGGATTTTTTTGGGGGGTGGGGGTTGGTCATGGGGCTTGAACTCAGGGCTGGGGGCTGTCCCTGAGCTCTTTTGCCCAAGGCTAGCACCCTACCATTTTATGCCATAGTGCTACTTGTGGTTTTCTGGTAGTTGGAGATAAGAGTCTCAGGGATTTTTTTCTGCCTGGGCTGGCTTTGAACTGCGATCCTCAGATCTCAGACTCCTGAGTAGCTAAGATGACAAGCATGAGCCACCAGCACCTGGCTTGGATTTCCTTGAACACATAAAGAATTTTGTAGTCAGGCAGTGTACCATACCTTTAATCCCAGCACTGGAGAGGCTGAGGTAGGAGGACGGAGAGTTTGAGGCAAGCCTAAGCAACACAGCCAGATCCTGTCTCTAAAAATAAACATTATATATATATATATACATATATATACACACATATATATACACACACTGTGTATATATATGTATATATATATATATATAATTGTGAGCTATAGCTATTATTGTGAGCACACACACACAAGGTTAAATACCAAGAAGCACTTTTCCTGGAGGAGGGAAAAGAGCCAATGGCAACCAGCACAGAAGACACGCCCCTCTCTGCCCTGTTTGGGGCGGGGGAGGGGTTTAGAGGCTCCATTTGAGGTTTCTAGGACTCCTCACTGGCTTCTCTTTGGGCAGGGACACGAAGCCAGGCCCTGTGTCTGGGAGCCTTGAGGCTGCTGTTTTGCAAGCTGCTGCTAACTGATGTGCTGCTGACCTGCCACATCCTGCTCCTGCCCCGCCCGCACTCCCGCCCCTCAAGACCACTCATCTCACCTGGCCACAGCAACGGAGAGACCCAGCACCCTGAGCTCCCCCAGGCCCACACTGATCCACAGGGACGGACCTTGCCGTGTGGATCCAGAGGGCAGGAACCTGGGTAGAGAGGAGAAGACGTGCTCTGCTCTCCCAGCTGGCTGAGTACTCTCCATCCATCCATCCATCCATCCATCTATCCATCCATCCATCCATCTATCCAACCATCCGTCCATCTATCCAACCATCCATCCATCCAACCAGCCATCTGTCTGAACATCCATCCATCTACCCAACCATCTATCTGTCCATATATCCCACCATCCATCCATCCATCCAACCAACCATCCATCCATCCATCCAACCATCCCATCCATCCATCCATCCAACCATCCATCTGTCCAAACATCTATCTGTCCATATATCCAACCATCCATCCATTCAATCAACCATCCATCCATCCAACCAACCATCCCATCCATCCAACCATCTATTCAACCATCCATCCATCCATCCATCCATCCATCCATCCATCCATCCATCCATCCATCCATCCATCCATCCATCCATCCATCCATCCATCCCTTCATCTATCCAACCATTCATCTATCCAACCATTCATCCATCCAACCACCCATCCATCCAACCAACCAAACAACCAAACAACCAACCATCCATCCATCCGTCCAGCCAGCCAGCCATCCACTCATCCATTTCCAACTTCAGTATTCCTTTCTCAGAGCTGCTGGTGTGTTTTCTGCATGTGCCCTCTTCCCGGGGCTGGGCTCTGCCTCCCTCCTCAGACTGAAAGGTTTAGAGGGGAGGGAAAAGGAGAGGAGGGACTGTGTCTTTTAGGTCACACTGGGAGCTCCAGATCCTTCAGGGACATTTTAGCTATAGATAATTGAGTCCAATTAAAGAATAGTTTTTATGATACAAACAAATGAAAAGTATTTTAATTCTCTTTTTCCCTGAGTGAGGGCAGGGTTGGTCAGTTAAGTTTAACAAAGCAGAAATCTGGGAGGACTCCCTTGAAAAAGAGGCTTCCTAAGAGTGAGAACCTGGCAATTGCAGAGTGGAGCTAGAGGTTGGAAAGGAAACTCAGTCTCTGTCTCCCACCCCTACATTCACGAACCTGGCAAAGCCCTTCTGTCTTCTTCCCCTGGCTCAAGCTCTGTGAGATGGCAGGGCAAGGAGCCCAGGGCCTGAGGGAGGTGGTGCTGGGTTTAGAGTCTCGTACAGACTCGACTGAAATGAACAGGGCCAGGATTCCCAGGGAATAAGATCATGTCGTGTTGAGCCTGGGAAGGTAATTCCAAATATACATATTATTAATCAATTAGGGGGTCATTATTTATTTGACAGATATTCAACATCAAGTAGAAGCCAGGTATGTAAGAAGTTTGGCCTTTTTGGTTTTCCTTTGTTTCCTAAAGAGGATTCTTGCCCTGATACAACATGAGATTCCCACAGTGGTTTGTTTGTTTTGCTGATTCCAGGGCTTGAATTCTGGGCCTGAGCACTGTTCTGAGCTTTGTGTTCAAAGCTAGCGCTCCACCACGTGAGCCACAGTGCCACTTCTGGCTTTTTCTGAGTAGTTCATTGGAGATAGTCTCATGGACTTTCCTGCCTGGGCTGGCTTCAAGCCATGATCCTCCAATTTCAGCCTCCTGAGTAGCTAGGATTAGAAGCATGAGCCACTAGTGCCTGGCTGAGGTTCCCACACTGGAACATTAAAGTATGATCTGTACGTCCCCTATGTCCCCAGTGATAGCAGGAATGCCAGCTTTTCCTGGGGGTTCCTCTCGATCTGTCATGTGAATCCAGATGTCCCTTGGGCACCACTGGACAGCTGACTGAATCAATGACCTTCCCTTAGTCTTCCTCTCCCCAAGGTTGGGGTGGGGAATTTGTCTTAGAGATGTTGTCAAAGACATCCAGCTTCTGGGCACCCTTAGACCTCATTGTCTCTTCCACTCCTTGTCAATCAGCGGCCAGCAAGGAGGTGCCTGCCTCTTTGGAGGATTTTTCAAGGAGTAAGGTGTGAAGAAGACCACAGCTTCTGGGGATGAAGCCACCCACCATCCCCCAGGACCTCTCCTTCCCTGACACACAGCCTGAGGAGAGGGCTCCAGCTGTCACCTCAAATTTTCTGCAGCCATTGTCCATTCCCAGCTCTCAGCCCAGATGTTGAGCCCATGCTTCACCCAAAACTAACCTCCATAAATGTCCTCTCCTTGGCTCCTTGTCCATTCTAAAGCGAAGCTTCTCTCTGCCTCAACCCTTCTCATCTTGTCCCAACTCAGCCTCCCTGCCCCAATCCCTCCATCTCACTATGGCTAGCTTAATATCATCTCCCAGGAGGACTTCCAGGCCTAGCTAAATCAAGAGTCATGGCTAGGCTCCAAACCTCCCTAAATCTCCTGGACCCAAGAGAGAGCAGAGCATTTAGAAGTCCCTATCCTGTGTACGGTGTGATTCCAATGCCACAGCCTTGCAAAAGTGTCTTGTTACCAACGCAATTGCTTTAGGCTTACATCAGAAAAAGGCCTCACACCTTTGACGTCTTCATAAAGCAGTAAAGATATCCAATCTCAGCCAGGAGCTGGTGGCTCACACCTGTAACCCTAGCTACTCAGGAGGCTGAGATCTGAGGATCACAGTTTGAAGCCAGCCCAGGCAGATCAATCCGTGAGATTCTTATCTCCAATTAACTACCAAAAAGCTGAAAGGAGAGGTGTAGCTCCAGTGGTAGATACCCGGTTTGGGCAAAAAAGCTCAAGGACAGTGCCCAGGCATTAAGTTCCCGGACCGGAGCGCGCGTACACACCACACACACACACACACACACACACACACTTAAACCAGGCGTTCATTAAGGGTTTGCAGCTTTAAAACCCCAGAACAGAATGTTGAAGGATGCAATGGAAGGCCCTCCTCTTCCAAAGCCAGCGTTCCTTAGGGCACCGGGTTCCATCCTCAGATCCTGACCCGCCAACCTCTCCCAGAGCCTCCGTTAGGAGGTGGGAAGAGACATCGCCATAGGTCGCTCTAGACACCATCTGCTCTCTTATTGGTCGAGACCAAGAACAGCTCGTCTTCCCATTCGCTGGAAGACAAACCCCGAGAAAGCTCATTGGCTGCATCGTCTGCTTTGAAGACGCGCGGAGGTGGGGGCGAAGGGGGCGGGCAAGGAGCCCGCGGTCGCCGTGGATACGCGGAGGCACGTGTGCATTCCCGGAAGCGGCTAGGGGAAGGTGCTGCGTGCGCGCCGCTGCAGGAAGCGCCTCCCGGTCCGTCCGGCTCGGGTCCGGCTGGCCATGGAGTCGTTGCCTAAGCCCTCGTCCCGTCGTCTCCTGCTTCTCCCTGTGCTGCTGCTGTCATTGCCGGCCTCAGAGCTGGGCCTGAGCCAGGCCCGGGCCGAGGAGACCGACTGGGTACGACTACCAAGCAAGTGCGAAGGTGAGGGGGCGGGGCCGCGGGCGCCTCCCGCCGGGGGCGGGGCCTGGGCGGGGCGGCCGAGGGAAGGTCCGGGCTCTGGAGCTGGAGTCCTGTGAACCTACTGTGTGCTCGCCACCGTGGTGGGCTCCGGGACTCGGGGGTGTGCGAGGGATCGCCGTGGTCGGAGAGGACCTTGGGGGCTGGCTGAGGATCTCCCAATCTAGCCTGGAAGCTGGGCAGAGGGGTGTCAGGGAAGGCTTCTTTAAGGAGTCTGCAGTGCCCTTAGGATTTAGCTGGAGAGAAGTGGAAAGGGGCCCCCAGGAAGGAAGTCACAGACATTGAGGCCCAGGCCTGTGGGCTAAGGAGCAAAGGACAAATTTGAGGAACTGAAAGATCGATATGACTGGTCTGTGTGTGTGTGTGTGGGGAGAACCTGAGATGTGCCTCCTCCCTTGTGCCCCCCTACCCAATCTCAGTAGTTGTCTGTTGCTCTTTGAGGAAAGGGACCTCATCTCAAATATTCGCACAGCGAATACTGGAGACCAGAAAATGCTCTTGAAATACATATATTAAATGGGGGGGGTGCAATTAAATGGGGTGGGTGTGGAGAAGGGTCTGAGGCCTAAGAAGCAGGACACTTTGAGGGAAGAATAGAGCCAGGGAGGAACTTGGTGAGGAAGGGAGATTTTAGAAATAAGGAGAAAGGCGTGGGACACCGTGGCTTACATCTATAATCCTAGCTCCATAGGAGGCTGAGATGGTAGGATCAAAGTTCGAAGCCAGCTCAGGCATACAAATCCACAAGACTCTTATCTCCAACTAACCAGCAAGAGTCTGGAAATAGAGATGTGGCTCAGCTGGTAGAGCACCAGTTATGGGGCTCTGAGTTCAAGCTCTAGTGCAAACACAAAAAGAAAATAAATAAAAATTTAAAAAATATGGAGAAAGAGCGAGTTCCCATAAAACTACACAGGAAGAGAGTGATTTGGCCAGGGATTCTAGCTTAGAGCCTACTTTGTTTGTTTTTCCAGTCCTGGGACTTGAACTTGGAGCATGGGCACTGTCCTTGAGCTTCTTTTGCTCAAGGCTAGTGCTTTACCACTTGAGCCACAGCGCCACTTCTGGCTTTTTCTGAGTATGTGGTACTAAGGAGTGGAACCTATGGCTTCATGCACGCTAGGCAAGCCCTCTACCACTAAGCTACATTTCCAGCCCCTTAACACATTTCTTTTTTCTTTCTTTCTTTTTTCTTTTTGTCAGTCATGGGGCTTGAACTCTGGGCCTGGGTGCTCTTCAGCTCAATGCTAGCACTCTACCACTTGAGCCACAGCGCCACTTCTCATTTTCTGGTGGTTAACTGGAGATGAGAATCTCACAGGGGCTGGGAAGGTGGCTCAGTGGTAGAGTGCTTGCCTTGCATGCATGAGGCCCTCGGTTCCATTCCTCAGCACCACATAAGTAGAAAAAGCTGGAAGTGGCACTGTGGCTCAAGTGGTAGAGCGCTTGCCTTGAGCTGAAGAGCTGATGGACAGCGCCCCGGCCCAGAGTTCAGGCCCCATAACCGACCAAAAAAAAAAAAAAGAATCTCATAGACTTTTTGCCCAGGCTGGCTTTTGAACATCGATCTCAGATTTCAGCCTCCTGAGTAGCAGGATTACAGGTGTGAGTCACTGGCGCCCAGCTTCAACACATTTTTTTTTTTTTTGGTCGGTTGTAGGCCTTGAACTCTGGGCTTGGGTGCTGTCCCTCAGCTCTTCAGCTCAAGACGAGTGCTCTACTGCTTGAGCCACAGCACCACTTCCGGTTTTCTAGTGGTTTATTTGAGATAGAATCTCACAGAGTTTCCTGCCTGGGCTGGCTTTGAACCGAGATCCTCAGATCTCAGCCTCCTGAGTAGCTAGGATTACAGGCGTGAGCCACCAGCGCCCGGCCTCAACACATTTCTTTTCTTTTTTTTTTTTTTTTTTGCCAGTCATGGTACCTGAACTCTGGGCCTGGGCGCTGTCCCTCAGCTCTTCAGCTCAAGGCTAGCACTCTACCACTTGAGCCATAGCACCACTTCTAGCTTTTTCTGCTTATGTGGTGCTGAGAAATCGAACCTAGGGCCTCATGCATGCAAGGCAAGCACTCTACCACTGAGCCACCTTCCCAGCCCACTCAACACATTTCTTAATGGCAGCTGGGCCTTCCTTTTTCCTGCCCTCCATCTCTCAGTACCTCTTCAGATCTTTATAGTCACCCCTTTCTTCCCATCCCTAACTGCTGGCCCCAGACAAGTTTGGTTGTAAAGCTGTTTTCATCAGAAGCCCGCACCAGGCCAGATGTTCCCTAAGCACTGGAAGGGGGTCAGCTGGTTTGAGATGCATAATCCTCCCATTTGAGGGATTAAAAGCAAGGAGAATCCCAGAGATAGCTTGGCTCACTGGCAGGACACCTGCTTGAGCTCTCGCTGTAGCAGCATGCTTTTCTTCCATTCTTCTTTCTGTTTTCTATTCTGTTTTGATGACAAAGAATCCCTACTGTTTCTCTTCTAATCTCAACCTAACAAGCTCATAGTCTTCTAGAGGACATTCACAGACTGAGAAGCTTAGAGCTAGCCAGATCATTCTAGCCTAACCTAGGATCACTTGGCAAACTCCAACCATTAGGTTCCTCTAACTACTGTACTTATTTTTATTTGTTATTACAACACCTTTGTTATGAAATGCTGACTGTATCTGGCCCACAAAGCCTGCCTTCAGGCTCAGTTGCCTGAGCAGGACAGGCCTTGGCACAGAGGAAGGAGAACCTGCCCAGCAAGCGAGAGTAGGTGTATGGATGTCTGTGAGTCTGGGGTCTGTGCCATGACTTTTCTCCAAGTGTGCTTCTGGGAAGAATCTCAGGGTGTCTGGAGTACGGAATGCTGGGAAGCAGGCTGTGGTTGATGGGTAGAGAATGAGATGTTTCCCATCTCCCTTTCAGTATGGAGCTTGGGAGCAAGGGGCACAGGAGCCAGAAAAATGCTGAGCTTGCTTGGGACAGGACAGGACAGGGGAGGGAATCCAGCTGGTCTGGATGGAGAGCCAGAGAGGTGAGATGACCTCAGTGCATTGCAGACTCTGAGATCACCAGCCAACTCATTTGGACATTTTATGTGTTCCAAGTTCTCTAAGCCATCTGTGGGCATACTTGCTATAAAATTGCACCAAGCAAGCCCTCAGGGGATATATTTATTTTTGTGGTAAACTGATTTTCAACCAAACTCTGCTGTCAGTGCTCTTACCGTGCAGATGGCACAGAGTCTGCAGGAAGGATTCCGTTGGGAGGCAGAGACAGCTTACCCACCAGCACTGCCGCTGTCAGTACCCAACATACAGCTTCCAAGTAGGGCACTGCAGAAGAAACCCAATGCATAATGCACACTTGGGGACCCTGGTCGTCTCAGTGGAAAAACAGATGAGGAAGGCCCTTAGAAAAAATGGACTGTATGGAGGCTCTAGGTGAAATCAAGAGAAGGTGGAGTTCATCCAGAAGGGCTTCCTGGGAGAGGTTTTAGTAAGATGTCTGGAGACTGCCCCAAGAAGCCTCTAGAGGGCGTTAACCACTTTCCCAGCGTTCGG